GTACTTTTAGAGTACATAAAAGACAGGTACTTATCCACAAGAACCTGGCTGACTAGTAGGGAAGGTTTCATACAGATCTCACACTCACATTAGAACATGACGCAAACTAAAGGGGCCTCCTGCTTCAATATTCCATTTAACTTATTTCATTCTTTACTTTCAAAATTATTTTCATGTTCACTCTACATTTTCTTGTGTATCACTCAGTAAATATCTTTACTGGTAAGTATTATATAAAGTTGCATGTCAGTTTAATCAAGGCATTTCAGAAGATACTCTTCTGGTGCTGTCGGGCATTGAAGTGCTCTTGCTAACAAATCCATGAACACGAAGAGCTTATCTAGTTTCGTACAAAACTGGTACTGTTACCGGCTCCTTTTACCGATCCCGCCTACGCAATTATTCATCCTCGTCAAGCTCTGCATCTGCTCTGCTAATTGCTCCTTCGCGCTATGCCTGCCTAGCATTTCCATTGGCATGGCCTCTGCAGCTGCCCACTTGGCTGCTTTTGAGTCAGCATTGTCTTTGCATATGTGCCAGAACAATGAACAATTCCATCTTTCTGAGAAACTTATATCTTTATACCTGATTTTACACAAACCATTATTTTCAAGAAAATTGTCGTGATTATCCATGTCAAAGCACTGATTGTAAAATAAAGTTAAGCATATTAAAGCTGACTTTAGTAAGTTGTGTTTATCTTTAAAGATGCACCTTCTCCTCTCTTTAAAGTTTTACTACACTACAGTTTTCCAATACTAGACAAGAATACCATTGTAGTTAGTTGTCCTACTGTACTCCCCCTTAAAAAAAAATATATATATATATATATATATTATTGATTTTTTTTACAGAGAGGAAGAGAGAGGGACAGAGTTAGAAACATCGATGAGAGAGAATCATCCATCAGCTGTCTCCTGCACACCTCCCACTAGGGATGTGCCCGCAACCAAGGTACATGCCCTTGACCGGAATCGAACCTGGGACCCTTCAGTCTACAGACTGATGCTCTATCCACTGAGCCAAACTAGTTTCAGCTGTACTCCCCTTTTATGCTCAGTTCCCTGTGCACTATCAGCATTGCATTGTGGGTTATTTCAATTTAATGATGATTTCCATTCAATTTAAATACAAAAATGATAGGGGAATAGGTATTTTAATAGAAATATTATTCTTTTATGTGGGATTTTTATTTATGAATAAAGAGCTTAAAGTTTTCTTATTTTATCAGTAACTTTTGTTTATTTAATTCTCATGTTAATCTGTATATTCCATGTACATGCTACATGGCAAACTATCCAGTTGATGGAGTTTGGGGATAATAAAAATCCTGTGTAAAAATCTCTGTAATAAGAGAAGATTTTTTTTTAAGAAAAAGATTAACATTCTCCTTTTGAAAGATGGAGAACACATCTGATCATTTACTGTCAATGGAGGAGCGGGTAATAAAGACCAGGAAAGAGGAAGAGAGATGGTGGAGACCTGAGAAGGCTGCTCACAAGTATTGCTAGTGCCAGGAGAGACAAATAACTACGAGGTTTCACTTTCTCCAGCGAAAGTTCGTTTTGTTGAGAACAGATTGAGCATATGTTATACTAGGAACTGAGAAAAGTTTAATTTCTTAAGGAGAAGTTAGCTTAGTAACTTTAAAAAATTAGAACATAAAATATAAATTTCAGCTGAAACCGGTTTGGCTCAGTGGATGGAGTCGGCCTGCAGACTGAGGGGTCCTGGGTTCGATTTCGGTCAAGGGCATGTACCTTGGTTGCGGGCACATCCCCAGTGGGGGGGTGCAAGAGGCAGCTGATCGATGATTCTCTCTCATCGATGTTTCTAACTCTCTATCCCTCTCTCTTCCTCTCTGTAAAAAAATCAATTACATATATATATATATATATATAGATAGATAGATAGATAGATATAGATATACATATAGATATAGATATAGATATAGATATAGATATAGATATAGATATATATTTCACATGGGGAGGAGAATCTTCAAGAAAAGACTCTCTTTCCTGTCCTATGGTAGTCAGTTTATGACATTCTATGTGATGAAACGCTTGAATTGAGGAGAGTTGGTCTGCAGCTTCTGTTGTAAAACAACAGAGCAACTCAGCTACGACACCCCAGATTCTAACCCCGATTCTAACTGGCATTGACAACAGCCCTGGGGCAAGCTGGCCACGATGTTCCTTCATTTCTCTTACACAGAAACCCACGGAATCATTGGTTACATGGTTTAAAAAAAAATGTCAGTGATGCTTGAGAGCTTTCATATCTCAAGGCTGTTCTGAGAATGGAATGCTTTCAGTGTGTCCTTTTCAGGGGAATGAAAGGCATTACGTGGAAGGCCAATAAAGAATGCTTTGTGAAACCACCCTTTTGCACGTCACTGAAAATGGTCAGAACAGCACAAAAGTCCTGGGAAAGTGATTTTTAAAAATAGGATGTTTTGTTGTAAGTGCTTGGGGTGGACAGATATTTTTTAATCAGATAAAAATACTGCCCATCTTAATCATATTTGGAAGAAAATAGGATGCACATTAATTACTCCAAAGATATTTATTAAGTGCCTGCTATGTGCAAGTCAAAAAGATGAAAAAGACACAGTGCTGCCCTCAGAAGTTACTGATAGTGAACACAACCTATGCATGTAAACATGATGTACACACATCAAACAGTCCTTGACACACACATCAGGGATGCTCTGGTGAGTAAACCAGATAGTTCTCTTGGAACTTATGTTACAGTTGGAGAAACCACCTGGCATCAACTTAACAAACGATGTAATTTCAGATACAGACAGGTGCTAAGAAGTACAGTAAGTCAGGGTGTTGTATCATAAATCAGCAAGATAGATACCAGATGCCTTAACAAGCCAATTAATTGGGAGTCTTTATTAATGCCAGTGGACCCAGAGGGAGAGGTCTCCCAAGTGTCTGAGCAGCACACAGAGGAAGTTTTCCCTATTTATACCTTTTTGAGCTCTTTGTCTGCAGATTTTACAAAGAGCTCTGTGTATATTATTTTTTGCAGATATAATGAACAAATGTACATAATAAAAAACACTTGGCATAAGAATATGGAAATTATTATCAGTATTAGTCTATTACGTTAGATGGCTAGTTTGCAAGGTCAGACAGTTAAGTTTTTATCTCTATTGTTCAAACTAAAACAGTTATTTTACAGAATAAGGGACTATCTGAAAATGACAGAGTTTACAATGACAGAGTTTATAGAACAAGGGACTATCTCACAATAACAGAGTAGTTCAAACAGTAGTTTTCCAAAGGAGGGATTACTGTGCTTCAAGGGAGGTATGCCAGGTGGTGACATGGATATGGGGGTGTGTGTGTCAGAAAATGCCTCTGAGGAAGTAACTTTTGAGCTAAGCATTGAAGGATAAGAACCAGCCAAAGGAAATTGGGGAGCACACGCATTCTAGGTAGAGGTCAAAGCCCTGAGATGGGAATGATCTTCGACGTAATCCCTGTGGCATGAAGGTCCGCATGGCTGGAGTCCAAGTGAGCCGGGGAAAGTGACAGAAGAAAGATCTCAGAGGCAGGCAGGAGCCTCAGAAAGGAATTTGCCTTTCAGTCTCAGTGCAATCAGAAGCCACTGGTGGATTTTAAAGAGGGCAGTGACATAGTTGGCTGTTCTCTTTTTTTTTTTTTTTTTTTAAGATTTAATGGACAACTGGGAGAGGTTAATGAGGGAAAAGGAAGACCAATGTAATGCTTTCAACAATAAAGATTAAAATTTAAAAGAAAAAAAAAAGATTGCATTGTCTGCTCTTAGGACAATGCCTATGAGGGTGGAGTGGAAGCAGGGAAACCAGAGAGGAGACTTGCAGTGGGCCAGGTGAGGTGACGGTGGCTTCGAGGGAAATGGAAGCTGTGAGAGGGAGCAAAATAGAGGACCCAGGATATATCTACAGGTTGGATATGTGGATAGAGTGGGAGGAGAGGAAGAAGGAATTTGACATGAACCCCTAGGTTTCTGGCTTGAGCAACTGGGTAGCTAGTGGTGCTATTTATGGAAATGGAGAAGATTGACGAACAGGTTTGGTGGGGAAATTCTATTTTGGAAATGTTAAGTTCAATCTGGCAGTTAGAGTACAAGTCACGATTTCAAATAAGTGGTTGGATATTAGAGCTTGGAGCTCAGGGAAGAGATCATGTAAAGAAATAAATTTGTGAGTCACCAGTATACAGGTGGTACTTTAAGTCAATAGGATTGAGAGATCACTTAGGGAGTGTGTGTGAAGGTAGACAAGAGTAGAATATTGAGTTTTAGTCATTTAGTGGTGAAGCATAGGAAGAGGAGCCAACAAAGTTTTATACATACACACACATAGAGCAGTAGATACATCCTATATAATAAAAAGCTAATATGCAAATCAACCCAACAACAGAACAACTGGTCACTATGATGCACACTGACCACCTGGGGGCAGATGCTCAATGCACTGGTGGTCAGTGCACTCCCACTTGGCTTCTGCCTGGCAAGTGCATCAGCGGTGGTGGGAGCTCCTGGACTACAAGAGGGTGCAGGTTGGGCTGAGGGAACCCCCCCTTCCCAAGTGCATGAATTTCTTGCACTGGACCTCTAGTAACTATATAACTATCCCTCTCGTTCTCACTCTTTTCTGAACTGTTTGAGAGTAGTCTGCAAACATGATGCCCCTTTACTCCTAAATACATCATAGTATGTATATACAGGGTGGGGCAAGAGTTTGCTTATAGTTGTTCATACGGAAAATAATGTTAATAAATAATAATACAAGAATAAACTATTTCATTGGCTCACAACTGTTAACCTACTTTTGCCCCACCATGTATATATATACTGTGATGTATTTAAGAGTAAATGTATGTATATATGTGTGTTTATGTATGTAAGTATATATGTGTGTGTGGAGAGAGAGAAAGAGGGATAGAGAGAATGAATGTGGATGTCATGAACACCAAAAGTTTGGAAGGGTTAAAGAGAGAGGAGAAGAACCATGGTCTAGAAGTAGTGTGTAAGAAGAGAAACTTATTGACGTAGCAAGCTCCTATTCCATCTCCCTGTTCCAAAAATCCATCCAATATGTTGCCCACAGATAGAGGATGTATTAGATGTTAAACTGATTAAAACAATGCCTGCGTTTGATCTTAGCCAAAAAGTCAAGAAGCAATAATAAAGAGAAATTTTTGGAATGTCTGAAACATAAAGAAGTTCACAACTGCCAAAACCGGTTTGGCTCAGTGGATAGAGTGTTGGCCTGTGGACTGAAGGGTCTCAGATTTGATTCTGGTCGAGGCATGTGCCTTGGTTTTGAGCACATACCCAGTGGGGCTGTGCAAGAGGCAGCTGATCGATATTTCTCTCTCATCAATGTTTCTTTTTTTTTAATAATATATTTTATTGATATTTTATAGAGAGAAAGAGAGAGGGATAGAGAGTTAGAAACATCGATGAGAGAGAATCATGGATCAGCTGCCTCTTGCACACCCCCTACTGGGGATGTGCCCGCAACCAAGGTACATGCCCTTGACCGGAATCGAACCAGGGACCTTTCAGTCTGCAGACCGACGCTCTATCCACTGAGCCAAACCGGTTTCGGCTCTCTCATCAATGTTTCTAACTCTCTACCCTCTCTCTTCGTCTCTGTAAAATATACTTAAAAAGAAAAAAAGAAGTTCACAACAGACATCAGTGGAGTAAAATAAACCTTCTTATAATATATCACACTTAAGGAGATTTTATTTTTTCTGTTCAATAAAGAAAATTTTATGTTTAAGAAACATTTGTTTCTGCTATTATGAAATATTTAAGAGGTACTTTGTGTTTTTTTTTTCCCCCAGAACAACACACCTGGTTTTACTTATTTAAAAAATACTACACACCTGGACCGGTTTGGCTCAATGGATAGAGCGTCGGCCTGCGGATTGAAAGGTCCCGGGTTCGATTCCGGTCAAGGGCATGTACCTTGGTTGCGGGCACGTCCCCAGTAGGGGGTGTGCAGGAGGCAGCTGATCGATGATTCTCTCTCATCGATGTTTCTAACTCTCTATCCCTCTCTCTTCCTCTCTGTGAAAAATCAATAAAATATATTTAAAAAAAAAAAAAATAAAAATAAAAATAAAAAATAAAAAATACTACACAGTTTTTCTTCTCGGTCTTGCATCTTGCAAAGACTCACAGACTTAGACTAGCCTCATAAGAGCTACTTTAATATGGGATTGCTAAAATTTAAAAAATAGGATCTGTGAATATAGCTTTCAGAAATTTAGATATGGAAAACTAATGTTATCAACATATGCATTACAGTGTGAGAAGTACATAAAAGAATTCTTCCTCTTTATGAAAGGATTTACTGTGGTCCATTAAATATGAATTCCCTACCTCGGCTCATCTCCCGCACCAAGAGGTCACTGGATTAATTCCAGGTCTGGACACATGTGTAGGCTGGATCCCCCGTGGGGAGCATGTAGGAAGCAGCCCATTGATGTTTCTATCAGCCCATTGATGTTTCTCTCTCTCTCCCCCTCTCCCTCCTCCTTTCTCTAAAATCAATGAAAAACATTAAAAAGTGAATTCCCTAATACCCTTATTAACCATTTAAAAAATAAAAAAGAAATTAAAGCTGTATAAATTTTGAAAGTAGTCTATTGAAGTGTGTAGAAGATATAGAAAATATGCCTGTAGTTGCATTATTTTTTGGAAACAATACACTATATTCAGCAAACACAGCTGAATATAGTTTCTTCGCTTTGGCATGTGAAACTTTAAGTGACTGATTCAATTAGGGAGAAAAAAGTCTGATGCTAAGGACCAATAACATGTAATGCTAAGTACCATTAATAGCAGAGATAACAAAAAAATGGCCCTTTTCAGTAACACGTATATAACATCTTTTGATGGTTCTTATTTCTTCATTATAATAACTAATAAAAGAAGTGGCTCTTCAGCCAGATAACCTGAAGTAGAGGACTTGACTTGAATCTTTCTTGCCACTGCCTTATGGTTAGATCTTGGCCTTTTCACGCTCTGTAAAAATAAGAATATTTTATGGCATTGTAATTATTTTGTGAATGAAATGAGAATGTGTAAATATGTTTTGAAAAATTAACTGTAAATATATGCCATTTGGAGTGTCTGAAGTAAACACTTTTGAATTTTGTTTTTCATTCCTCCATCAATTCTATCTGTGAAAGACATGATTACTATTTCCTTTGTTGAAAAAGAAGGACCAAAGACTCATTTACAAAGGCCACCTTTAATCTCTATTATCTCTGCTTGATTCTATTCTTAAATTAATGTAATAATCTGTGGTCTTTACCTAAATAACTTGGGAGGTTGTGATTTTTATTTAAAATAACTAGGGAAGATATTTTTGATGATTTTTAGAATATTAACATATTTCAGGTCTGTATAGCCTAACTGCTAATAATCATGCAAATATAGCACACGTTTATTTTCTCTCCTAACTTAATCATTTAAAACATTTTTTTTAAAGAAAGCAATTCCAAGGAAAAAAACATGGTTGGTATTTACTTAGCACTTTTGCAATAACTACATATTGTTATGACTGTTAGTAGATGTAATAAAAGTACATACATGGGGGTGATAAACATGAAAATCAGTATAGTTTTACTCCTGCGGAGTGGGAGGTGAAGGGTATTAAGAACACGGGAGACTTCAATTATGAGGTTACATACTTTATAAAACTAGGTGTTAGGTACATGATTATTTTATTCACTCTGTTTTTTGTAAACTGGACATATTTTATAAGAATGTTTAAAAGGAAAATAGTAATTCTAGCTTATAAACTGAAGAATGAACCACCAAGGGCTACGAGTGGAAGGAAGGAGACATGTTAGGAGGCTCTTGCTGTACTCCTGAAGGGTGGAGCTGAGTATCTAGCAGTTTCTGGCATAGTCCGTGTGTAACAAATTGTAGTTATTGTTGAGGTGGCTGCTATCATCATCAACAGGGCAAAGATCAAAGACTTAGGGGGACTGTGAAAAAAGAGAAACTAAAATGTTTCAAGTAGCTATGTTGTACTACGTGCTTCATTTATCTTTTGGTTTTACCTAGAATCTAGTTATAAAGAATCTAAGGCTCAGAGAAAGGCAGAAGGCACAAGGCTACATACATTTCTAATGACTCATTTTTCAATGTTATTTAAAACATACACTCTCTTCTGCCAATATACACACCCTTTTCCCGTCTAGCATTTGAAAAAAAATGCAACCATCTTTTCTCTTTGGTTCTTAAGTAGCATATTTTGAGTTAAAGTTTAATAGCTCGATACACCAAACACTTGGATAGTGTCTTATTACATGTTACAGAATACTTCTGGATCTCTCTCAATTTTTCACTTGACCCTCCTAACAACTCTGAGAAAGGGCAGTTGATCATTCCTGTTTTACAGATGGGTAAACTAAAACCCAAAGAGGCTAAATCAGAAATTTTTAAATATATATATTTTATTGATTTTTTTACAGAGAGAAAGAGAGAGAAATAGAGAGTTAGAAACATCGATGAGAGAGAGAGACATCGACCAGCTGCCTCTTGCAAACCCCTACTGGGGATGTGCCCGAAACCAAGGTACATGCCCTTGACCAGAATCGAACCTGGGACCTTTCAATCCGAAGCTCTATCCACTGAGCCAAACCGGTTTAAGCTAAATCAGAAATTCTTAATCCCTGTGAACACGAACTTCAAGAATTCCTATGTTAAATCGTTTATGACTGAGTGGGCATTTTTCTAGGTTGAGGGTTAACTTTAATTGTATTGTAAAGGAGTTCATGACTCCCCCAAAAAAAGGTTTAAGAAACAGGGGGCTAAACGATTTGCCTAAAGCCCCAGGTCACAGGGTCCTGGTGCAGCAAAGACCCCAAGCACTTTCTTCCTACCTCACACCCTGAATTCTTCTCATTACAACTTACAGCATCAACATTCCGATTAGAGATATTATCGGTGAAGTACGGTTTGTAATGTTTACTGACTGCTAAGGTGCAAAAGCTGTTAAATATAGAGAAACATCTTACGGGGAGTTTGTTCAGCTGTTGGGCACTCTAATCTACAGGGTGTTATTTTTCAAATGAGCAAGTCAAGAGCTGTTACTACCAGCGCTAGCACAAACTTGCTAACTGACACAGTGGCTATGTGACGTATTTAAGAAAGGAATCTGACACAGTGGCTATGTAACGTATTTTTACAAATGTGAGGAATCTATAAACAATAATCATGAAAAAAAACAAAAATCCTGAGACACAGCTTCTTGATCTAGAGGTGGGAAGCAGACCGTGAGCTGAGAGTGGATTTTCCTTTCCCCTGAACCGGTTACCTAACATCTCAGGATCTCCTTTCTCCCAGATGTAAAAGGCAGGATTAAAGTGGATCGCTTTCTCGGAATCCTTCCAACTCTACAGTCCTTGCAGTTTGGACAGGATTTAAAATAGGGGCGCAAATGGGTATAAACTCTTGACAAAGCCTTTTAAAATTGGCTTTATTTTCCCAATAAGAAAGGCCAAGGTGGGTGAGCGGTCATTAACCCCAAGTGTCCGGGGAGCGCACTAGACCTGCCCCTGAAGAAGGTCAAGCCTGCAGCTACCTTTGGGTGATGTGAGGGTGGGCGGAGAGAATGCCTCGGGAGGCCCAAAGGTCCAGGGGGATTTCACAGGAACCAAGGGCTCTCAATCCTACCCTCAGGAATGAAGGAAGCGGAACGCCCTGGCCCGGCCCGGGGGGGAGGGATCGGGTGGGGTGAGCGAACGTTGAAGGTGGGGCTTCGCGCCCGAGGCGGTTTCTGTACCAGCAGCACCGCTCCTCCGCGGATCCCGGGCGCCCGGCTATAGGCTGGGGCTGAGCTCGGGGAGCAGAGTCACCCTGGGAACCTCCGGGCCGCCGGGGCCACGTGACCCGGTGCGGGGGCGGGGAGAGCGCGCCCCGCCCCGCCCCCCACGCATGCGCGCGGCTCCCGGCGCTGAAATTCAAATTTGAACGGCTGCAGCCGGAGCCCGAGTCCCACACCGGAGGCTGCCGGGGACAGGAGCGCAGGCTGGGGAGAGTGGTCCCGGCCCCGGACTCCTGGTTTTCTCCAAGCGCCACCCCGAACCGGGACTCACTTCTTTCCTTTTCCTGAATTTGAACCACCGTCTCCATCGTCTCGCAAGCGACACGCGAAGCCCGGGACGATGGACCCGTTTACGGAGGTGAGGAAACCTGCGGGCGCAGCCGGGCATGACCCTCCTCGGCCCCCACACGCCCTGCCCACCTCCTGTCAACCTCCGGGACCCCGGGGCGGAGAGCGCGTGCGCAGAGCCTGCGTGCGGGTCCCGCGGGGGCCGCCGGGAGGGGCCGCGGGGCGCCCACCTCCGTGGGCCCGTCCGCGCTTTCCAGCGATGAAGCCTGGGGAGGGAAGTGTAGAGTCTGTCCCGAAAGGTAGTGAGAGGCGCCAGGTCGGCCGGGTTGTTACGGGAGCGCCCCCTGTGGAGCGGAGACCTGTCCCCCCGAGAGGGAGGGTGCGGCCCGACGGAGCCGGTCCCGCTGGGAGCGACGGCGGCTCGCCCGGCCGGGCGGAGGCGGGCGCCCGGGTGACTCACGGTTGCATGTCAACCGCCGCCGGGAAATGGAATGGAGCGGGGTTTGCGCGGTCCGCAGAGGAGCTAGGGGTGCCTCTCAGGATGCGGTTCCCCATGGAACAGTGTTGGAATGAGCTGGTGCCTGAGCCATGGCCTCCGCTCCCGGAAAGCCCAGTGGTTGCTGGGCTGGCCGCGGTGAATTTCCTCCCGCTGACCGTACACTGAAAGGGAAAGTGGTGGCTGGATGTGTACAAAGCAAGTTTATTAGCCAGGGTGGAGAAATAAACCTTTTATGTGTGTTTGTGCATGACATCACAGCAGTGGTGCGGTGCACTCCTCTTTGGTTCTGGGGGCTGAGCGCGGGTTTCTTACATTCCCACTGTGTGACGATGGGTTCTCCAGCGTGGACCCGCGGAGCCCCGACGGTTCGGGAGTTTTCCTGTGGCCAGCCGTCCACTCTCCTTTCTTCCTCTTTTTAAGGTTGTTGCACAAGCTTCAAACTGTTGTTTTTTGAATTTCTGCAAAGGGGATCTAAACATGTGTCTAAAGAACTTAAATGCTTTGGAGAGTAGTTAATACTTTTTTATTTTTGAAAATGTAGTTACACTTCCATAAGTGTAAAGTATTTAAAAGTTTCAACAGTTAGACTTGACTTATTTTCAAACAAGACCTAGCGCATCTTTGGGAGCAAAAATTAATATAAGACTCTGTCTTATTTTCGGGGAAACAGGGTACAAACAGTACAAAGATTGAAATTTCTTTTGAGAGCCAAATTTTTAAACTTAAACTTCTTCTAACGCCACTTTTCAAAATAGACTTGCCCAGGCCATGGTATTTTGTGGAAGAGACATACTCAAGGGGCCAAGAGCTGCAGTTTGCTGACCATGGAGCTAGGGCAACAGAATTTTACCATTGTTTTTTTTTTTTTTTAACCGAGAATAGAAGAAAGAGGGGCTGTTTACTTTACTTTTAAAAAGTCTCACAAAAATCCAGAACACATCTTTGTATTAGCTTTAAAAAATAAGGCTGGTTGTGCACCATATTTTTCACTTAATTGAAGTTCTAATGTATATTTTTTTAATGTTACTGACTTAGAATAGGATTCCTTAAAGCACTCCTATGTGATCTGATTTTTGTTTTTTATTTTTATTCCAAGTAACAGGAACAAAGCATTTTGAATGTTGGCTGAAAATATCACTTAAAAATGTCATTCTGAAGCCGTACAAATCTCAATTGAAAGAAACTTTATGTGAAAGAAACCTTTCATTTTAGCATGAAATGAAATATGTGTTTAGCATGCTCAGAAATATGTATTGTTTAATTTGTATGGTTTGTATTATGAAAAGTTAGGTCCGTTGCAGTTGGAATAAATGGCTTTGACATCTTTCCTTAATTGGTAGTGAGTGAGCTATTTGAATTGGTTCCAACCAGTAGGTGCTTAATTCTAGTGTTCATAACATTTTTGCACAGTGAAATGAACTGGCACACTGCCTTGTGTGAAAGGACTGAAAGTCAGTGGAAATGACTTTGTCCACGAGCATTCTTATCAGAAGCATAGAGCACGAGGATGGAGAGGCCGTTTTCTCAATGTTCCCTACCCTCCGGCAAGCAGAGCAGATGTTTTATTCATCCCAGGGATGTCAGGGAGCCAGGGCTTACTTCTCCTGGTAACTCTGGTTGAGAAAGGCGACAGCCGTCCTAAATTCTGTTTTCCTTGGTTCTCCCTGCTGCCACTGGTGCTTTCAGGCACACTCTTCTCCCTGCTCTTCTGCCTGGCAAACCCTGGCCTAGCCTCTGGCTCTCACGGATCTCCCTGCTTCGGAGGAGAGGACACCTTTCTCAGTGCTCAGCTCCCTTGCATTTACTTCTTGAGCAAGTTACGTACTTGCTGGCTGTTTTTTCCATTCAGAGCGAGTTTCCCTAACCTCAGGCTCACCCAGTAAGTGCTGAGTAAATATAGGAAAGAGCCATCGGTGCTGCTATTTTACCATCCAGTAATTACACACCACAACACACCACAGTAGCTGTTAAGACATTTTTGCAGTGTTTTCTACTAACATTTCAAATGACACAGGCATGATAAACTCTCCTGCACCCATCACGCAGCAGCACAGGCGTGTTTCACTTTGTGTCTCCCCCCCCACCACCTCCCCATCTTGTCCTTCCCTATTTGAAAGCAAATTCTAGAGATCATATAATTTCAGACTTAAGTATTTCAGTGTTTACCAACAAATGCTAAGGACTTTAAAAGCAAAACATCATCATGCCATCACAGTAACAGTTCCTTAGTATCAGGTATTCTGTCAGTGTTCACATTTCCCTGTGTCTCATGCTTTTGCAGTTGACATGAATCAGGATGTAGAAAGGTCTTTCAAGTTTTACATGGACCAGCTGGAAGTAATGACTCCATCTCGATTCATGGGCGAACAAGCAGTTTAAGCAGATGTTTATCATTATGATCTGATGTGAGCTAATACCGTGTTTCCCCAAAAATAAGACCTAGCGCATGGAAAGATAAGACATCCCCTGAAAATAAGACCTAGCGCAACTTTGGGAGAAAAAATTAATATAAGACACTGTCTTATTTTCGGGGAAACAGGGTAGCCTTAAAAAACATTATGCTGATGATATGGAGTTAGTTCTCTGACACAAGTTCTTAAAAAGAACAATTGGGTTTTGTCAAAGGAGTTTATAGCCGTGGTCAGAAAACTGCAGCTCTTTGGCCCCTTAAGTGTGGCTCTTCCACAAAATATCACAGCCTGGGCGAGTCTATTTTGAAGAAGTGGCATTAGAAGAAGTTAAAGTTTAAAAAATGTGGCTCTCAAAAGCTCTGGTGATTAGTTTGCTGACCACTGGTTTATAGCAAAGTTAAGATCCCTGACTCAGGAACCCTCGTTTGAATACTGCCTCTCCTTTCCTTAGCTACGTGACCTATGGCTTGTTAGGTAACCGTGCCTGGATTTCTTCATCTCTAAACAGCAGTAAAAACAGAGTCTGCCACAGAAGGTGGCTTTTGTTTTTGTTTCTAGGCTTTGAAAATAGTTAATGTGTGCAAATACTGGAAGTACTTAGATTAAATCCTACCTAAGTGTTAGTGATTGTGGTGTACTGTGAGGTGAATTTAAAATGATACACTTACAACATTGATGTTCGCCTCTTAATTTGAAGATCTGCCCTCGGGTGATGGTCATCCCAGTCCAAGTCATTCCAGTCCAAGACGAGCATAGGGAAAGCAGGGCTGGGTGTGCCAAGTCAGAACTTTCTGTGGAGGAACCCTAAAAGAGAAAAGGCTACAATGAATGTTCCTTGTAAAACATCTTTTCTTGTGATAAAAATAAACAAATATGCTGTTACTGTTTTGAATGGAGTCTCTCTTATTTTCCAGAATTGTGACACTCTCTGTATTGACAAAGGAGGGAATGCTACTGGAGTACACTGAGAATAATAAGTTAATTTCTGCCGCACCTGTTTTGGCTCAGTGGGTAGAGTGCTGGCCTATGATCTGACCGGACCCAGGTTCGATTCCGGTCAAGGGTACTTGGGTTGCAGGCTTGATCCCCAGTAGGGGACATGCAGGAGGCAGCCAGTCAATGATTCTCTCTCATCATTGATGTTTCGCTCCCTCTCTCTTCCTCTCTGAAATCAGTAAAAATGCATTTTTAAAAAGTTCATTTCTATTGAATCTACTCCGTTTAAGAAGGCAGGGAGTCAGTAATCCTTCTTAAGAAAATTTTTGTCACAAATGATTCAAAGTGTGTGTGGCAGACATTGCTTAGGTACTATATGCGTCAGTTATCTTATATTCATCCATGTGGATGAATATCCTGATTCTGTTAATTATCGCAATGTTTTATTTTTTATTCCTCTACTGTTTGAAGGAATGTACGTTATAAACAAAAGAACCTTTAACTTCCTGATACACCATTGTATAAGTCACATTTACTGTGTTGTTTTTATATGTATATTATTTCTTTTAATTTAATAATCTTTGGTACTTATTAGTTTTTATTTTACAGACAAGGAACTTTTTTCTCTTTTTACTTATCTACTTTATTTTTAATTTGGAAAACTTTAGACCAAAGTAGACAATAGGGCTGTTGTATACTTTAGAATGACACAATCACATTCTTTTGTTGTGACCCATTGCTCATAGTAACTGAAGGTACAGTGACTCACCAGCATTCTAACAGCCTGGGATGGAATGTGGGCATGTCCATGAATGAATATAATTAGGCTAGTTTTGTCGGGGGAGTGATATATTTTATTGCTGGAGAAATGATCAGACATAAATTTGTCTATCACTTTTGAGTTTATGCAAGACTTTTACTTGTGTTTTGGAAGGCACTTGGTTCATAAATTACCCTTTCTGTGGCAGAGCATTTAGACCTAGTGTCACTTTTTTAAATGAACTTTTTAAAAAAATGTTATTGATTTTAGAGACAGATAGAAATAGAAGCATCAATCTACTGCCTCCAGTACACCCCCTAATGGTGATCCAACCCGTAATCTGGGCATGTGCCCTGACAGGGAATCGAACCCTTGACCTCTCTGTGCACAGGATAATGCTCAACCAACTGAGCTTTAAGTTAGAAATCATCCTAAGGAGAGGAGAATTGAGCTTTCTTCCCAATTTAGCTCATGCTTAAGAGGAATTAATAGCAATTGTTATTTGCCGAAACCGGTTTGGCTCAGTGGATAGAGCAGGGGTCGGCAACCTTTAAGACATAAAGAGCCACTTGGACCTGTTTTTGAAGGAAAAAAAAACCTGGGAGCCGCAAAACCATTGCGACATTTAAAACAAATATAACACTGCATATATTGTTTCTTACCTTAATGCTATATACCGGATCGTGCAGAAAGAGGGTTTTTTCACTTAACAAAAAGAGCCGCATGCGGCTCCGGAGCCGCAGGTTGCCGACACCTGGGATAGAGCATCAGCCTGCTGACTGAAAGGTCCGGGTTTGATTTGGGTCAAGGGCATGTACCTTGGTTGTGGGCACATGCCCAGTAGGGGGTGTGCAAGAGGCAGCTGATTGATGTTTCTCTCTCATCGATGTTTCTAACTCTCTATCCCTCTTTCTTCCTCTCTGTGAAAAATCAAAAATATATATATTTTTAATTGTTATTCTATTTTAATTAAAGAATTAAAAAGATCAGATGGAGTTTAATTTCGTAGTCTGCCAAGTAGATATCTGTGCTTGCAGGGCAGTATGTAAACTCTAGCCAGGAATCTGCACCCCACACTCAGTTGCATGCATTTGGCAGAGAATGAGTTGTCTTATAGGTCTCGTGTTTATTAGCACAATTCAAACAGGAGCATCAGAGTTCATAAAAGTATTCATAATTCTATGAAATGGCTTATATTTCAACATAAAACTTTTATATTGACATTTATTCTTTTTTTTTAAATATATTTTATTGATTTTTTACAGAGAGGAAGGGAGAGAGATAGAGAGCCAGAAACATCGATGAGAGAGAAACATCGGCCAGCCGCCTCTTACACACCCCCTATCGGGAATGCGCCCACAACCAATGTACATGCCCCTTGACCGGAATCGAACCCAGGACCTTTCAGTCTGCAGGCCAACGCTCTACCACTGAGCCAAACTGGTTTCGGCTATATTGACATTTAATTAAATAAAACATTAACACTGTCTGGAGTATATTTTTCCTCTTAGGAAGTGTCTTATGTTTTCAGTTATCTCTTGCTGTTCACCACCCCAGATCTTCATGGCTGTGTTAGTGCTGCTTCTGTACCAAATTACCACAGGCTGAGTGGCTCCGAACTACACCTTAGCTTCTGTACATCTGAAGTCTGATGGGTTTTACTGGGTTAAACTCAGGGTGTTGGCAGGATTGGGTTCCTTCTGGAGGTTTTAGGGGAGAATTGACTTCCTTACTTTCTCCAGCTTCTGGCACCACCTAATTTTTAGGGTCCTGTCCCCCTTTATCTTCACAACCGCCAATCACGGCATTCTGACCCCGGCTTCCCATGCCACCTCTTCGCTGCCCGAGTTTCCTGCCCCCCTTTTCCTTTGTAAGGGCCATTGTGATTACTTCGGTCCAGATAATCCACGACGGTCTCTCCATCGCAAGCTTCTTAGCTTAGTCACACCGGCAAGCTTCCTTTGGCCACCCAACTTATTCCCGGGACATTAGGATAGGAGCATCTTTGGAGACCATTGTTCTGTCCACCTGCCTTAGTGCTTAAAACAATGACCACACAATTTTTTTAAATATGTTTTTTATTGATTTTTAGAGAGAGGAAGGGAGAGGGATGAGAGAGGAGCATCCTCAATCAGCTGCCTCCTGTACGTCCCCTACCAGGGATGGAGCCCACAACACAGGCACATGCCCTGACCGGTCATCGTACCGGTGACCCCTTGGTACGTGGGGCAACGCCCAACCCACTGAGCCACACCAGCCGGGCTTTTATTCCCCTGTAATGTTCATAGTACACCAGTAGTATTTTTGACATTGGGGTGCTCATTTATTGGGTCTTGAGTACCTTATGATTTCACTTTTTAAGTGTATGTAACTTTTCCTGCATGGCAATTGGTGATTTTAGAAGTTATTTGCAGTTTTGTGAGCCTTTGGCTAAACCGTATTTTAAACATTATGTATGTAGAAACTACTTGAACGAACCCGTGCCAGGCGAGAAAATCTCCAGAGAAAGATGGCCGAGAGGCCCACAGCAGCACCGAGGACTGTGCCTCTCGCCAAGCGCACCAGAGAGCCGCTTGCAGAAGCCAGTAACCAGCAGCCCCCGTCCGGGGGGGAAGGTAAGACTGGGAGGTAACTGGAGGAGGAAGCCCCAAACTTCCCTGTGCATGTGGAAGAATCAGCACCTGGGGGAGGCACACGTCGGCCCCTGGGGAAGACCAGCCTTCTCCCTCTACGTCAGGGTTCTGTTTTATGTTAGGGCTGGACCTACTGGGCCAGACAAGAGTTTCCTTTAACCAATAGTTCGAATTAATTGGTTGAACTTTATTTTCCTCAAGCCAAACTTACTCTGAGTGTGGAATAGTCTGACGATAATCCTTAGCACAACTCTAAAACAAGGGTAGAAAAGGCGGATTACAGAGATGAGGGCTTGGAACTGGCTTACAGTTATTTTGGGAACTAACCAAAGAATGATCATTTATTTCCACATATTTATGTTGAAGGAAGGGAGGGGAATATGTTACATATACATGGTATTGGGCCAGGAAAATAGAGGCCTGGCCCAGTCCAGGATTTTCTGCTTTCACTGTGACGTGGGTTTGTACACGCACATAGTGGATGCTGTGTGCAGAAAACCAGTGGTTGAGACCACATTTTGATGCTAACATGTAGTTATTGACTGCTGTTCACAAGAATTGTAAATGTAAATAATTCTGTATTTCCCAGTGGTATTGCATGTTAAAATGGAAACATGTTAAAAATGATCAGATAAGTCCATGGAAAATGAGTTACAGAAGAGGAGAAAGTTTCATGCTGTAGATTAAACTCCCATATTTTTACGTAGATGGATAGTGATAAGGACAGTCACAGCCTCTCACTGATACAACTTTGGTCACTGCCAGAATAGGTATTCTTGGTTAGACAACCAGTGAAACTGACCTCTTAGGAAATTTACATCCCAACTTTAAAAAAATATATATCAATTTTCCAGGAGACATACTAAAACTCATTTCTGGGTTGAAGTCATATGCCTTATGTTTGGATTGTTCCTTTTTATTTCAGGACTTGCAATTTGTTTTCTCAGTGTTCACGGAAGTTTAAAATGTGAAGTGTGGTTCAGCACTTGTGCTGATGAATTTGTTTGCTGTTGAAATTCCGTCACATTTTTGGTTCCCTGTCTCTTTCCTAAACCTCGAGCCAGGTGCCCTGTCCCCTTGCCTTATCATTGTCCATGAAAGATTGTCTTAGAAACAGGAAGCCTGGTTTCTCCCTCAGCTCAGCTGCGTCCCTTTAGGCAGGGAGCTGCATTCCTCCGGCTTGGTTTTTCTTGTCTGTGAGTGAGGTGACTGGGCTGTGACCTTCAACAGGCCCCGGACCATTTGCTCATTCTGTGTGTGCACTTTAACTTCCTGCTCTCTGTGTAAAGTATTGTACATATATATCGAGAATGTTACTTTAATTTATTTTCACCTGGGTTTTTTAAATAATAAATTATATATATTTTAAATCTCTCATATCAGATTTCTAAGTTATTGAAAGTAGAATTTTCATATTTCTTGTAAGGAAAATCATTGAAAGGATTAGAGAAACATGGTGTTTTATTAAGTTGCGAAGTACCTCTGGCAAGTTGTGCTGTGAGAAAGTATGGAGTTTTGAAATTTTCCTCCTTTTTAATCTAGAGAAATCTTGTACAAAACCATCGCCATCAAAAAAACGCTGTTCTGACAACACTGAAGTTTCTAACTTGGAAAACGCACAACCGGTTGAGTCAGCTTCTGCCAAACCTTGTTCTCCAAGTCCTGTGTCCCCTCAGGCGCAGCCTCAGGCACCGGCTCCGGCCAGTGATTCCCTGCCCGCCACCCGGGCACCGCGGCTGGGCCAGCAGAGCGCGCCCGGCGCCAGGCCTGAGGCCTCTGCCGCCTCCTCCGTTAAAACACGGATGCAGAAGCTGGCAGCCCAGCGGCGCCACTGGGATAATGACGAGGTGACAGGTATGAATGACCCTTAATCTGTCAGTAAGACTCACATTGGAATGTTGAAAATCGTATTTATCAGTTAACATTTGAAGGCAACCGCTTTTGCTTTATCTATATCCCTGTACGGTCACTTGCACATAGTTCGCTTATCAGTAGTGTGTTTACCAGGTGTGGGGGTGCTGGAGGCACCACACTGAGGAAGGACATGTTTTGCAGTTTCAACTTCAGGTGTGTTATCTGTAGTTTCTGGGGTTTAGCCAAAAGGAGGAAGGTAGTTGGTTAGAAAGTTTTTTTGTTTTGTTTATTTATTTATTTAATATATTTTATTTATTTTTTATAGAGAGGAAGGTAGAGGGATAGAGAGTTAGAAACATCGATGAGAGAGAAAGACATCGATCAGCTGCCTCCTGCACACCCCCCACTGGGGATGTGCCCGCAACCAAGATACATGCCCTTGACCTGAATCAAACCTGGGACCTTTCAGTCCTTAGGCTGACGCTCTATCCACTGAGCCAAACCTGTTTCGGCCGTTTTGTTTTTTTTAATTTGGATTATCATTGGATTTGAAAAGATATTGTCCCATTTAAACGGCTCGGTATTCTCATGCATACCAGAGTGTTGGACTAGTTCTGAGCCTGTTAACCACATTAACGATTCTGAATGGAGTGGTGCTGGTATGTGCACGGACAGTACATGCATCTCTTGAGCAGGGTCGTGAATTCTTTTTCTGAAAACATTCGCAGATGATACCCCTGAAAGCTCCCTCATCCCAGCAATGCCCATGGAGGACAAGGCCGTCTCCCCTCCCAAACCAGCAGAAGCCTCAGCAACTCCCGTTGGGAGGAGGGGCCGTCTGGCCAACCTTGCGGCCACTATTTGCTCCTGGGAAGATGATGTCAGCCACTCATCCGCAAAGCAGAACAGGGCCCCAGGACAGCCTGGTACCACTTGTTTACCCGAAGCTTCCGCGGCGAGCGGAGCATCTGCTGGCATCAATGGCAGCAGTGTTGCGCAGGAAGCCGCATGCTGCTCCCCGCGGGGTGGCAATGCCTCTCTGAGGGAAGCGCCGGCCCCGAGAGCAGCCGCCTCCTTGCCTAAGGAAGCCGTTTCCAGCTCTGCGGTGAGTGCATACAGCTTTCAATACAAAGAGTCTTGCTGCTTATGTTATGAGAGATAATGTACATTCATGTGTAGGTATGTGTTTTTGTAACGTATCTGCAGTGCTTTGTTATTTTTAGAATATTAGTTTCATAGAAAGTAAAAGTCATAACTTCGGGACCTCCACCCCCACCCCAAGGTAAGTGAGCAGTTGAGAACTAGTGTAGCTCCAAAGTGCGCACCGTGACGCGACGGAGCCTTCGTCAGGGGAGCCCGGGAAACGACTTTCTCCGTCTGGGTGCGAGTTTCTATAGGGACCAGGTGGCCGTTGTCAGTGGTGGGTACAGTGCTTTCACGTATGTCCTTTTGAAAGGTTCCCTTGTGCGTGTGCTACCTCAACATTTAAAAAACTTGAAAAAAGAAAAAAAAAGAAGGTTATGTACTGGGCACTGTCTTTGAGGGTAGAGCTGGGGTTTGGAATTAGCCTGCTGGCAGTCCCAGCCCTGCCACTTCATTAGGAGTGTGGCCTTGGACAAGGCACTTGTCCTGCAGAACCTAGGGAAGGGTTCTGGGGAGGGTGATGTGCATGGAACTCTTAGCATAGGCTTGGCACAGAGTGAGGACTTCACTTATTATCATTAGCCGTCAAGTACACGGTACAATAAAAACACACATATGTTTTTATTTTCTTTAAAGGGAGAGAGAAACATGAATTGGTTGCCTCCCATAGCACCCCACCAGAGACTGAACCCACAACCCAGGAATCGAACTGGCAACCTTTCAGTGCACAGGACGATGTTCAGTTAGCCAATTAACTGAGCCACACTGGCCAGGGCTGTGATATGATTATGATAAAATAATACTGACTTAATTAAAATACAAAAAAAGTAATTCAGGCCGAAACCGGTTTGGCTCAATGGATAGAGTGTTGGCTTGGGGACTGAAGGGTCCCGAGTTCGATTCCGGTCAAGGGCATGTGCCTTGGTTGCGGGCATATCCCCAATGGGGGGTGTGCAAGAGGCAGCTGGTCGATGACTCTCTCTCATCGATGTTTCTAACTCTCTATCTCTTTCCCTTCCTCTCTGTACAAAATCAATAAAATATATTTTTAAAAAAAAGTAATTCAGTTTAATACAGTTAATATCATAAATGTAATAGTATGATACTATGAAAGAAATTGTTTTTAAAATAATGACTCTGTCCCTCATACTGAATTACCCATCGTTCTATTATACAGGCTGAACTATACAGTATAATTTTAATTGCAGCATTTTCCAAGTTGATTTTTTTTTTTTCAAACCTGTCACGTTGGCTTGATCCTTAGGTAACAACATTTTTTCATGAGTTTACATAGGCCCAAGCAAATAGACTGCGTTGTCTGTTATGGGACTGTCTCTAGGTATTGTGAGTGTTGTATTTATCCTAAGTGTTTTCATGTTTCAGAAAGCTGCTGCTTCCCCTGTGAAAGCTTCTATATCTCTCACCAATGCTAACAATTGTGAGGTACGAAAACCTGAGCGACTTCAAAAACCTCCTGCTAGTCCTTTGAAAACTGAGGTATCAAAACCAATCGGGAAGTCAGCCGAATCCCAGACAGTTCGGCCCAAAGAAGAAGTAAATAGAGAACCTTGTCTGCAGTCTCACTCTAAAGACAAATCTACAACAGGTTATGTATTTTTTAAAAATCTAAAGTTTTCAGGGCTTCTGTTCTCAGCATTTTAAATACCCAGTTTGAATGGTACAGTATTGATTTGCCAGGACAAGTGCCGAATGCTCGGATGAAACGTCTTCAAATTCAGCTCTGAGTGGTAGAGTGACTGTTTATTAGTGTAGACAAATACAGTCACTGGTCAAGGTATTTAACCTGCTAACATCTAAGCAGTTTAAACATGTTTTTCCTTAGAGTACTGTGCTAGATACTTTCCTCTATACTTTTAAAAAAATATATTTTTTGTTGATTTCAGAGAGGAAGGGAGAAGTAGAAACATCATACCCCCTACTAGGAATCAAGCCCACAACCCTGGCAGGTGCCCTGACTGGGAATCAAACTTATGACCTCCTGGTTAATGGGTTGATGCTCAACCATTGAGCAACACCACCTGGGCATATATTGTTTACTTTCTGAATGAATAATCTTAGTGGAGTCAAAGCACTTTGGAACTGTACAGGCATTTAGAACTTCCCCATAGAAATTATAATGGTTACTTATTCTGAAAAGCCCCAACAGTGTGGTGTTCTCTGTAGGAGCGGGAGTCAAGCCGTTTCTGGAGCGCTTCGGAGAGCGCTGTCAAGAACGCAGCAAAGACAGCCCCGCGCGGAGCACGCCCCACAGGACCCCTGTGGTCACTCCGAACACCAAGGCCATCCAGGAAAGACTGTTAAAGCAAAACACATCTTCATCTACTACCCACGTAGCACAGCGGCTCAAGCAGGTGCGTACGTCTTATTGCCTTCACATTACCCATGCACAGTCTCAGCATAGAACTACAGAAGTCAAGTCGTGTATTTCCATACCATTATTTTTGACTGATTAAGTAGCATCTTGGTTCTCTGTATTATGTATTTCAAATTAGAAATACAGTTGTCCTGTATTCCTTTATATTGTGACTTTTTTCCTCTTAAAACCGAAGATAAGCAAAGTTAGTAGTGTTTGCATATTATTTTTAAACCTTCTGTTGGCTATTGTGTAAAATAGAGCTTTTGATGATTTTAGGAACGTGAAAAAGAACTAGCATGTCTTCGTGGCCGATTTGACAAGGGCAACTTATGGAGTGCAGAAAAAGGCGAAAACTCGAGAAGCAAACAACTAGAAACCAAAGAGGTAACTTAAATAGGCGAGTGATGATGAAAAGAAGAAGGAAAGCCCTGGCTCCAGGCCAGGCCTCTGGTGGGGGCAAATAAAGTGCCTGGGATGATTTAATCCTGACACTAACCCTGGAAGGTGACACTGCCCCCTTTTCTGGGTGAGGGACTAAGCCCCAGGGAGGTAAATCACCCATGCAAATGCACAGCTGGTGCGTGGGGAAACCAGGTCTTCTAACCAGACCCTCTGCCCCCGCTGCCTCCTTTACCGCCATGTTTATTCTTGGGCCCAATCCACAATGGAAGGATGGAGCTCAGTGGGTTTGTCTGGCGCTGTGTTTTCAAAGCTATGATTTCCACCTTTGAGAATGAATGATGTTGCTTTCCATTACCACCACTCATTTTTCAGTTAGTCAGCTAACGTTTGAGTGCCTATTGTATACAAACCCCCAAAGCTCTTTACTCTCCAGGTGCGCTCAGCCATTCTTCTCATTTCTGAAATGTACTGCCCTGCCTTCCTCTCCTCAAACTTCTTGCTTATTCTACAGTCTGCAGCACAGTATTGGATAATGTGCTGTGTGTTTGTACATCAAACTGGCTACTAGCTGTGTGTGTAAGTTACTTAACTCTTCTGTGTCTCAGTTTTCTCATCTGTAAAATGGAGACATTAGTACTGATCCTAGAGAGTTATTGGTAATATCAGATGAGGCAATGATGTGAAGTGTGTAAAATAGAAAGATGACTGACACATGTGAAGCTCTATGGCAGTATTCACTGCTGTTCTTATTTCTACTCGTGGCCCTAATCACAACCTTTTCAAAAGCAAACAATGAATGTTTCTCTTGCATAACCTTATAATTATTTAATAAATGACTCAGATAAAGGAATATTTTTCTCCTTTAAAAAAAAAAAAGTCTATTGATTTTAGAGAGAAGGAAAAGGGATAGAGAGAGAGAAATATGAATGAGAGAGAAACATCTATAGGCTGCCTCCAGCACCTCCATCTCTCCCCCCAACCCCCTCAGGATTGAACCCACAACCCTGGGCATGTGCCCTGACCAGGAATTGGTCCAGTGACCTCTTAGTTCATGGGTTGACACTCAACCACTGAACCACATCGGGTAGACCTCTCTTTTCCTTTTCTTATGATCTGTTTTTGTCCTGTGTTGTTTTCGTTGCATTTTACCCACAGAGTAACTGGTAAGTGGAACCTGGGGGAGGAACTGTCCCTAGTTGTTGTTTTTTGTTAATCCTCACCTATGGATATTTTTACCCCAATGATTTTTAGAAAGAGCGGAAGGGAGTGGGGAGAGAAAGGGAAAGAGATTCACCGATTGGTTGCCTCCCTCACGTGCCCCTGTTCAACACAGGTTTGTGCCCTTGACTGGAATTGAACCCGGGACCCTTCAGTCTGCGGGCTGATGCTCTAACCAGCGAACAACCGGCCAGGGCGTCCCTAGTTTTACAGATGTGGACTGTGATGAGTGACACGGGAGCTGTTTCCTTCACACCTGATTTCACGGGAATCTGTTTCTCTAAAGCTGAACCTGATGCAGATTTCCATTCTCCCTGCCTCCTGGTCCCAGTGACTCACGTCCTGAGAATCCCAGAACGCGAACTCACACGGAGGGCTCCCGTTCTGAACTGTCTGTTTTGTTCTGAGGAAGCTTATGTAGAGCAATGACTATGGATTGTTTCATTTAATGACACACAGAAAGACAAAAGTCTGTTGTTTTGAGGAGTAAAATGTATCTCTTTGCTTTTTGCAGGAAATTCACTCTCAGAACACTCCCCTCAGAAAACATCAAGTTGTTTCAAATACCCCGTCAGGTCCAGTAAGAGAAAAGGAAAAGGCGGAAAAGGCAGCAGGAAAGCAGACTCCAGCGCAGCCCCCTAGCCCAGAGCCCGCAGGTCTGTGCTTCCTCCCTTACTCCCTTCACTCCCTGGAGCTCTCAGTCCGCCAGAGTTCTGGAAACTGGGTTGGAAGTCAGAAATGCTGCTCTAGTGTAAAATGACAGATCCGTTCCCTCATGTCCACCACTTGCCTCTTCTGGCCACACTCTGCTTCTCTCAGTGCTCTTTCCAGAGTGAGAATTCAGCCTCTTGGCACGAGTGTGAATACTGCAACTTGTAATATCTGTTGAACTGTGAGGTGTGCATGCTCTTTAAGTCAGCTTCTCTGCAAGTGTGTGCAAGTTGGAACCAGTATGCAAAGGTGCACTGTGTGCAAAGAGATGATTGTGGCCCGTGTAATGGTAATACACGACCTAAGGCAGTCAGCAGCAGCTTTAAGTAAATGTGCTAAACCCATGTAATCACATGTGCCCCTGCTGGACGGGGGCTTCCGAAGCTTTGCTGACTGGAAGTGGTGAGAGTGAATTGAACCCAGGACCCTTCAGTCTGCGGACTGAAGTGGTGAGAGTGGCTTCTTTGTTTTGTTCCTGATCTTAGAGGAAGAGCTTTCAGTCCTTCACAGGGGATAGTGTTAACTGGGGGCTTTTCATAGAGAGGGGTCTAAGTGTGTGTGTGTGTGTTTAATATATCTTTATGCTGAAAGTGTTACAGATGTCCCTTTGTTTCCCCTATTGACACTCTCCACCCTGCACCCTTTTTCAGTGTTTTTATCGGCACTTTTTAAAAAAAGTAAAAAACAAATTGCAAACAGCATGAAAGTGTGACACCTGCTGATAAAATAAAAGGCTACTCACTTAGATCCCCACAGGGGGAAACTGGAAGAGCAAACCATAGCCTGGTCTATCTGTGTCCCTTCCTCCTAGAGAGAGAAATGGGGAGGTAGGGGAGGGCAGGTGTTTGTGGGTATTCTGTACATTTCTAAATGTGAAATGCAGTTTTGTAATAAAGATACAGAAGATTCTATAACCAAAAAGTTCCGGGTTTTTAAAATATTAATGTGGTTTTCCCTAAAACTTTTTTAGGTTCCACTGAATGTGAAATGACGAAGTCTAGCCCTTTGAAAATAACATTGTTTTTAGAAGAGGAAAAGCCTTTAAAAATAACATCAGACCCAAAGGTTGAGCAGCAGACAGGTTGGTTTTTATTCTTTAGTTCTTACTAGCACTAAACATATTATGAGAAATAATATAATAGTAGAAGCACATATTCCACTATATGCTGTTCTATATTTCTTTTTAAAAATTATTTTTAAATTGATTTCAGAGAGGAAGGGAGAGGTAGAGGAGACAGAAACATCAATGATGAGAGAGAATCATTGATCAGCTGCCTTATGCACGCCCCCTACTGGGGATCAAGCTCACAACCTGAGCATGTGGCCTGACCAGGAATCAAACCTTGACCTCCTGATTCATGGGTCCATGTTCAACCACTGAGCCACGCCAGCCAGGCCAGTGTTCTATATTTGTAAGTGGCTTGTGGTTTTATAATTCTCTCTCTCTCTCTCTCTCTTTAACTACGAAGAAGTACTCTAGCCTCCACAGAGATAGAGGACTGAAACAGTTCTCTTTAGGTTACAGACCCTGTGAAAACATGGTCGAGCCTACCCTCGCCTGTCGCAGGGGAGGGAGTGCACAGTCTGGCACCTCCATGTGCTGTCGGGGAGCTAGTGGCCCTGAAGGCACCTGTGAATCCTGCCCTAGGTGACTCTAATGTTTCCTGTTGGTGACTGCTTCCTCAAGGCCAGCTCCCACCATAGGAGAGTCATTTGAAAGAACATGTTTCATACGTCTGGAGCTTTTGGCTCTAATCCTGGGTCCTTAATAATCTTTCTAAAAAAAAAAAAAAAAATAATAATAATAATAATAATAATCATCTTGCTCACCCCCAAAGCATTGGATTAGCTTTTGATAATTTCCACTTTATTTATTTGTTTACTTTTTGGTCCTTCTAGCGTAATCGAATTTTTTCACTTTTATTGGTATGAAAATATTACTAGGAATTTGAAAATAATTTTGGTTTCATGTGTTAGTAAATTTTATTATTTTTTGTTTAGGAGGTGCTTTTCATCAGGGCTTTCCCCTGTTTACTTAGTAAGCATGTGAATGTTAGATCTTTTCTGCTCTCCCTCTAATTTATTTTTTTATTTTATTGATTTTGTACAGAGAGGAAGGGAGAGAGATAGAGAGTTAGAAACATCGACGAGAGAGAGTCATCAATCAGTTGCCTCTTGCACACCCCCCACTGGGGATATGCCCGCAACCATGCCCTATACTGGAATCGAACCCGGGTCCCGTCAGTCCCCAAGCCGACGCTCTATCCATTGAGCTAAACCGGTCTCGGCCTCCCTCTAATTTTTAAAGGCCTGAATCACAACATCTACCTATTGAAATATCTTTCAGAAGTGGTACGTGAAATCGAGATGAGCGTGGACGACGAGGATGACATCAATAGTTCGAAAGTGATTAACGACATCTTCAGTGATGTCCTGCAGGCAGGCGAGCTAGATGCGGCCAGGAGCCCAGAGCAGCCGGGCCAGGCGGGAGCCGAGAGCGGGGAGGACCAGGAGGATGCGCTGAATATCTCCTCCATGTCGCTGCTCACTCCGCTGGCACAGACAGTCGGCGTGATAAGTCCAGAGGTAAGAAAAGAGGAACCAGGCTCAGGGCATGAGGAAACCATTTTGTTTTAGTGGGTTCATGGGGATTTAGAACTCTGGAGCCGGGGGAGTCTGCAAACCTGACTTGAATGCTCTTTAAAGAGAGCTTAAAAGTCCTCCGTGGTTCCTTTGACCTTAGACAGAATCCAAACTAACATGGGTAAAGGCCAGGCATTGGGGCCCAAATCCTGGCTCTGTCAGTTCCTGATGCTTATTGGCCAGATCATTGACCCTCTGTCACATCCACTCATCTGTTAAATGTGGTTAACAATAGTACCTGCATCTTAGGGTTGATGTGAATATTAAGACATGTTAGTATTTTGGTACTTAGCACCAGACAGATAACTAACATTTATGAGAGTGAGCTATATTATTAGCTATCATCCTGTATTGAATAACTGCAGCTTTGTTTGGAAATTGATTAAATTAGAACTATTTCTAAAGAGGGTTATGAATGTAGGTTTTAGTTATCTTTCAACTTTTATTTATTCTTTAGAAATTTGGTTTAGTTTTTGTTTTTACGATGAATCAGTGGACTTGTACGGATATTTATTTCCTCATATAGAGAAGAATTCATTGGTCCCTCAGAATTATTTAGCATCAGTGGCATCCATAAAACCTATTAATACCCACTGCTTCCCTGCAGAGTTTCGCTTCCTCGCCTAGATTGGAACTGAAGGGCAGTAGCACACATGATGAGAGTCCAAAACCAGGAAAGTTCCAGAGAACCCGTGTCCCTCGGGCTGAATCTGGGGATAGCATTGGTTCTGAGGATCGTGACCTTCTGTACAGGTGAGAACGTTTGGGGGAGGCATTCACTCACTGAGGGTCATGGTTTCTATGGATACAACAAGTTGGATTCTCTTGTAATTATGTTACTAATAGTTAACTTGCCAAAAACTTGGGAATCACTTCTGTCAGCTTCTCTTTCCCCCAGTGGCATATCCCATTCTGGTGAAGTGTCTGCTGACATGTTGCAGCAGCAGTATCCAGTTCTGCTGAAATGCTGAATAAAAGATAGGGCTAGTGTGTTGCTGGATTTCTAACAGAGTGTAACTGTTTCCTGAAGCATCGATGCGTACAGATCTCAGAGAGTCAAAGAAACAGACCGTCCTTCAATTAAGCAGATTGTTCGGAAGGAAGATGCTACTTCAAAATTGGAGGGGAAAAAGAATGCTGAAGAAAAGAGCGTCTTTCCTTGTCAGGTTAACGTCAAGCAGAAAATGCAGGTGTGTACTTCCGTGGACGGGTTTCCGGTGGTTCTTTCATGAGACTGAGCTTGAGCACGAGGCCCGGCCTTTCCCTCTCTGTGCCCTGAGGGCCTGGGACAGTGTCCGACGCCTGACACCCTGATCTCAGCAGTTGCTCTTGAATTCAGTTTAATTGGAGAAAGGCTCTCTTTATTAGGAAAGTTGGAAGCTTGTTTGATATTATTGAAATATTTATTTTTAAACATGTTTGTCCTAAATATCCTTAAAGTGTAACTATAAATTAGATGATGGTGAAATGTGCAATTTATTTTGTTCTTAAATATTCTTTTACTGTAAGGAGGACTTTAAAAAATTGCACCATACATGCAGTTTAAATAAAATGAGTCAGATAATATCTGTCTCTAGACTGGGATGCATTTGAAATCATGCAACTGTGCAGAGTATGCTGAGAATGAATATATGAATATATTTACATCCCCACACTCCCTCTGTACCTTCCTATCCATCTGTAGCTAAAAAAGGGTGTGACTTTGTTGGGCATGGCCCCAATTATAATTTTAGTAAGTATGAGTTGAAAATCTTCTTGTAAGGAAGAATGTTGATAGTGTAATTATTACAGTATGTTAAATGCTCTTGGTGCAGAGTTAGAAACTTGAATGGTGAAATTTGGACTTTCTGGAAATTTTGGAAATTATTGAATCAGATTGGTTATAATCCAAGTTTCAGTAAGTGAAAGTGGTGACTGAGAATGTGGGTTTTCTCTCCTCTCATGGGTCTCACCAGGAACTCAACAACGAAATCAACCTGCAGCAGACGGTGATCTACCAGGCCAGCCAGGCCCTGAACTGCTGTGTGGACGAGGAGCACGGGAAGGGGTCGCTGGAAGAGGCGGAGGCGGAACGGCTGCTTCTGATCGCAAGTGCGTGAGGCCCCGGCAATGCCAGCAGGCTCAGCCAGGAGACACTTCACCTCGCATGGGCCGACACTCTAACTGTAGAGACAGGGCCTTTTCTGATAACCTGGTTCAGTCCATCTCCTTTTTGTTCTGGATAACGTCTGTGGCCACCGCCATGCGAAAGGAGATGTAGTTTGCATGAAAGGGCAAGCGTTTGAAGGCATGCAGTTGTGCAGAGTATGCTGAGAATGAATGTATGGATATATTACATTTACATTCCCATACTCTCTCTGTACCTACCTATCTATCTGTAGCTAAAAAGGGTGTGAATTTTGTTGTGTGGGTTTGTACGTGTAGTGATGAATGGTGGAAAGATTATACCGCACAAGAAAACTGACCAATAGTGGAAGCATTAAATTATTGGAACTTGGTAAGCAGATGACCAATTAAGGTTTTTCCCAACTACCTCTACCTGTTTCTATAAAGAAAGTTACCGATTTCGCCTTTGGGCTTCTATACTGTTGCCACATAATTGCATTTAGAAACATTTAGAAACAGTTGCAACTTTTAATATTTGAAATATTAACTTGCATCATTTTACATAGCTGAGAAGAGAACACTTTTGATTGATGAGCTGAATAAGCTGAAGAGTGAAGGACCTCAGAGGAAGAATAAGGCTGGTCTCCCCTCCCAAAGTGAATTTGTCCCATCCAAAGGGTCAGTCACTTTGTCAGAAATCCGTTTGCCTCTCAAGGCAGATTTTGTCTGCAGCACAGCTCAGAAACCAGGTACAGAGATTTTCTTTTGCCTGCCTTCTAGATCGTATGTGTGATTTGAACCTCACCTAGCTTAGAGTTGTGAGAATGGGAACCATTGGAGGGCAAGCATGAAGCTACAAAGCTCGTGCCATGGGTCTTTTAGATCCTTTTGTGAAGATGTGTGTAAGAATAACCAAGGACAGTTCATATGGGAGCTCATTGTTCCACATAAGAACAGACAAAGCTCTAACTGAAAGTAAGGCTAGTTAAACATAACTTTGAACATAAATCATTTTCCTGCAATGAGCTATCCTGACATAGCAATCAGTTTCATTAATTTTATTGTGGAAAGTATTTGGGGCATCTAAAATGACTCATTTTACTTACTTTATTCTATGTGAAATTCATCTCATTATAGAAATTTCTATAAATTCTGAATTTATAGAATTTGGAGGAATGAAGAGCCCCACAGTGGACATAATTGTATTGAACTTTTATTCCCTTTGCCCCTCTAGATTGAATAAGTAAACTTTTCTAAACTACATCTTCTCCTAAAAATCATTTTTAGCAGTGGGTAAAGGAAAATATGGCACGAGGATCTGAAGACAGGCAGGGTGATTATAGCAAGCTTAAGAAAATGAACATTTAATAAAGTTTGGATTCTTTTTAAGGTTTCTTCAAATATTTGTGCGAAACATTCTTTTTGAGAGAGAGGAGGCCTAGACTAGGTGAGAAGTGAATTTGAAGTGCGGGGAAAGTAAAGAAGGGACCTTTATTTTTTTATTTTTTAAACATATTTTATTTTTTTACAGAGAGGAAGAGAGAGGGATAGAGTTAGAAACATCGATGGGAGAGAATCATCAATCAGCTGCCTCTTGCACACCCCCTATTGGGGATGTACCCGCAACCAAGGTACATGCCCTTGACCGGAATCGAACCCGGGACATTTCAGTCCACAGGCCAACGCTCTATCCATTGAGCCAAACCAGTTTTGGCAAAGAAGGGACCTTTAAAGATTTGAGCATTTTGGCAGGAAAGAGGTGGCCTGAGTTCTAATTCTTGCTGTTGTCCGGTTTTGGTGGGCTGTGGGCAGAAACATGTTGGCCATTTAATGTGTATCTTGAAATCTGTGGTTAATTAATGATAAATAGTGAAAAAATAGTTCATGTTTTCATTAGAATTTGCCTCTGAGGAACTTTCACAAGTACAGTATTTTTATCTCAGTTTTGAAATACAGTAGTACATACTCAGATACATAGCATTGAGTTGTATACTGTTAGCTCAAGAACTAGGAGTCACTGGGTAAAATGCGAAGCCAGCAGAATTTGAGGGGTGTGGCGTGAAGTTATTGTGATTCCCATAGTGGGAGAGCCCGTGATGAGGCTTGTTCCAGAATTAGAACCATCTGCTTATGTCTTACTTACCTTTGTGTCTGGAAAGTTGACTTTGGAAAATTTTCAATGAATTTTATGTAAATCAGTGCAGTATTCCCGTATTCCTCTGGTCTTCAGAATGCTGGTTACCTAAATCCAATTCTGCTTGGTCTGATTCTGTGACGTGATTCCTTCCCGCAGATGCAGCAACTTACTCCTTCCTGCTCATCCTGAAGGCGGGCGCCGAGAACATGGTGGCCACCCCGCTGGCAAGCACCGCCACTTCTCTGAACGGCGATGCCCTGCCCTTCTCCACCACGTACACTCTGTGAGTAATCAGGCGGTGGGCGGCGCACCTTTCCCTCCAGTAGTTATGCAGTCTGAGCACACAGGTGGGCTTGTACCTGGGAAGTGCAGAATGGTCATTCTTTTTATGTGCTCACATAACTCAATTGGTTGGTTTAACTCTTCTGTTTCTGACATTTCTTTCCATTGAGTAGAATGCTGCTTCCATGTGACTGTAGGTGTTTAACATTTTGAAGTATTTTAAAATGTGTATATGTGTAAATATACATATGCCTATAAAAATATTGATCATATTTTTTACATATGCTTTAAATCTCATTACGTACTTAATATCCAGTACAGACTTATTTTGAAAAAAAATCAAAATTGAGTTTGAAAAAAATTACCCTTATTATTGAAGATGTTGAGTTGTAAATTACTAAAGAAAATATTTGACTTGTATTATAGGAAAAAATTGACTGATTTTACCAATTTTTATATTCTTAAGTGGTTAATAGCTATTGTCTTTAGTTGAAATTCAGTGAATGCTTTTGCTCTGAGTCTTTTAACGGTGTGGTGGCATCTTCCTAAGCAATATCTTGGTATTTTCCTTATAGTTTTAATGCTTTGTGTTTTCAGGGAAGATGTGTCCAATGACTTTGAAATCAGTATTGAAGTTTACAGCTTGGTAAGCAGTTAAAGCTCTTTAAAATAACTACTAGTATATTGTCTTAAAGATAACAGATTTAAACTAGTTATGCTTTCCATTTGTGTATTAGGTGCAAAAGAAAGATCCCTCAATGCCAGATAAGAAGAAAAAGTCATACAAATCCAAGGTGAGGATGAAAGAAACCCAGTAAATTATAATAACCGGAAACCACAGATCCACTACTAGTTTCCATATGTATAATTTTTAATGACTATCAAGTTTTTGGACCATTTTTATGCCCCAAATTTGAGGTACTGCATTTCATAGGTATGAGCACAGACATAAACTTATAATCCTAAGTATAGCTCCTCATGCACTCGGCTTGGTGATTCTGTTTTCTGTTATTTGACAGCTTACTTGTATTACCCTTTTGCCTTCCCAGCCTTCCCTGGAGTCTGATCTCTATGTCTTCTGCACCAGGGCTTAGCAGAGGTGTGGGGACAGGACTCCAGCTGGCTTCTCATTCTTCCTGCTTTTTTGCTCTTCTGTTCTTTTTCAAGCTATCATTTAAAATAATTTTATTTAGCTTAAACAGAGAAAGAAGGACAGTATGGCTAATTCCTTAATAAAAGATTCAAGAATATTCATGTTTAAGGATTATTTTCTATGGGGGAATGTCTTAAGATTGGTTATTTTAAAACTCTAAATTGTAATGTTTAATAGAAAATATTCTGATGTTTTCTTTTAGGCTATCACTCCAAAGCGACTTCTCACATCTAAAACTACAGTAAGTAGAATTTTTAAAAATTGAGCCTCCTTGTGAAATCTTCCTGTTACACATATGATTGTGAATTGGTTAACCATTTCTAAACTCTTAGCACTTGGGAAATCTTTAAAATATACTACTGGGGGAGGGGAAGACCTCGTATTTATGTAGAAAACAATGTGTTCTGAAATGTAGTTCTTGTAGTGTTAAAGAGTTTTGTATTTAATATTCAAATCTTTATATCTAATCAAGAAAATAACTTGTTTCTTCTTCACACTCTTTTTTAGAAAGGCACCCTTCATTCCTCAGGTGAGTGGATTTTGAACTGTTGGAAACACTAGAATAAGGAAAAGAGCCAAGCAATTGCATAATCGCACGTGCAGCCTTCTCAGTTGATGGGTGTTCAGCATAGTCTCCTTGGAAAGATGTTTTCTTTGTGGTTGAGACCACGTGAGATTACTGTCCGGTCGCTGTTGTCAGATGCCACACATCTCTGAGGCCCTGGCAGCAGCCCATGAAGCCGGTCACGTGACCCCTGCAGCGGAAGCAGTGCCCGTTACCGGCTCATGCTGCCCTGCTGTCAGCACTGTGGAGTTGACCTCTGTTAGCTTTGCTGACCATGACTGGCATTGAATCATGTCAGAAAAGCATCTTCCTAGCACAGGGGATCTGGGGTACCCGTAAGCTAGGGAAGGGCCTTCTAGAATGGCTTTAGGCAGGGGTTAGGGTTGAGTTGGTTTTTCTCACCTCCTTTGGGCTTTTGGTCTCTTCTTTGTACAGAGTAATTAAGAAGCACCGTGCAGCAGCATCTTTGCTGCTAAGTATGCCACCTAGATTATGGCAATGGGGTCTTCTCATTCCTATGCATTTTATGTATACATTTTAAGGTTCTGTATCTTTAAAAACCTGCCTGTCCCAGATATTCAGACGTGCCTAAACTCTACTACAGTTAAATATAAGCTACCTAACAGTTTTCTGTCACTAGCAAATTTGACATTTTTCCTCCCTATTTGGAGATGGAGGGAAATGAAGTTTTCTCTGGGGCAGGTGAATGTCATTGTGTTGGGGTGAGGTGAGGAGTGATTTGCACTCAGGGAAGTCGCTCCGAACTAAGCCCCAGCCCTCTCTCTCCAGTGATGGCCAGCCCGGGCGGGCTCCATGCTGTGCGTACCAGCAACTTCATCCTTGTGGGATCGTACACACTGTCCTTGTCTTCAGTAGGAAACACCAAGTTCCCCCTGGACAAGGTAACCCTTATTTATTTATGTATTTATTTATTTTTAGAAAAGTTAGGTCAGTGGAAATGCCCCAGTACTTTCAAGTATTAAAATCTTTGACTGAAAGTGTGTGTTCTTAGAATTGTACATTTTAACGAGGCTTTGGTGTACCTATATAATGTATTTTTTGATGTTGGAAATATTTTTCTCTTATATCTTAACAGTTAAATCCTGAAAGTACTGCATGCTGATTTATTCTAAATGTCAGTTTTGATTAAAGAAGTGTTACTTTTTTTTTTTAACTGAAAGTGGGAACTTACTAAGATTCTTTTTTTTTTTTTAATATATTTTATTGATTTTTTACAGAGAGGAAGGGAGAGAGATAGAGAGCTAGAAACGTCGATGAGAGAGAAACATCGACCAGCTGCCTCCTGCACACCCCCTACCGGGGATGTGCCCACAACCAAGGTACATGCCCCTGACCGAAATCGAACCCGGGACCTTTCAGTCTGCAGACCGATGCTCTACCACTGAGCCAAACCGGTTTCGGCAAGAAGTGTTACTTTTTTTTTAAGATTTATTTTTCAATTACAGTTGACGTACAATATTATATTAGTTTCTGGTGTACAACGTAGCAATTAGACAACTATATACCTAATGAAGTGATCCCTTGATAGGTCCAGTACCTGTCTGAAGCCATACCTAGTTATTACACATTATTGACAATATTCCCTGTGCTATACTTCACAGCCCTGTGACTGTTTTTATTAACTGGATGTATTACTTCTTGCTCTTAGATGTTAAGCTTACAGTTTTAAACAGTCACTTGCCCATTGGAACCCATATTTCAAAATGAATAGTAGTTTATAGATTTAGTGTTTTTTAAATATGGTATATATATTTTTATTGATTTCAGAGTGAAAGAGAGAGGGAGAGAGAGAGAAACATCAATGATGAGAAAGAATCATCGATTGGCTGCCTCCTGCATGCTCCTCGATCAAGCCTGCAAGTTGAGCATAATGCCCTTGACCAGAATTGAACCTTAAGTTTGAGGGCCAAGCTCTATCCACTGAGCCAATCCGGCTAGGCCTATAGATTTAATTTATATAAGATAGGGAAAGACAGGTTAATTTCTTAGACAAGTACCCAGGAATCTAAGGGAGTTCCTTCCCACACGTTCCTCCCCAAGTTTAAAGCATCAGCATTTAGATCTGCGTAATATCACTGAGTGCTTTTCACCATAATGTGACATGACTAAACTTTATTAACTAACAAGACCATTTTAAGGAATGAGAGAACTAGAAGTAAACTTTTAATTCTTGGGCTGTCCCTGCTTCATAATTCAGGGGAATTTTTAAATATTATAAGAGATTTTTGTAGTTAGAATATAGAGATGTGCCTAAACCAGTTTGGCTCAGTGGATAGAGCGTCAGCCTGTGGACTGAAAGGTCCCAGGTTCGATTCAGATCAAGGGCATGTACCTTGGTTGCGGGCACATCCCTAGTGGGGGGTGTGCAGGAGACAGCTGATCGAGGACTCTCTCATTAATGTTTCTGACTCTCTGTCCCTCTCTCTTCCTCTCTGTAAAAAATCAATAAAATATATTTTAAAAATATAGAGAGAGATGAAATATTACACGTTAGGAGGCCTCGTTAGTGTTGGCCCTGCTAGGAATTTCCTCTTTAACATTGAGCAAAGGTTCTTCATTTCTCGTAGCTTTAGAATTCCATGAAATCTTTCTTGTGCAAAATCATTTTATTTAACTGGTTGTCTTTAATACTCTAACGTCTCTTGCACATACAACACAATTTTGATGTCAGATTTGTCTCAAATGTACTTTTGTAAGTGCCAGGGGAAAGCAAATACTTGTTCCAATTGTTTGAGACTAATTTGAAATTTTGATTATTGTTAATGCGTAAGTTTATTTTTTAACATATTTACTTAAAAGATTCTTGTACCTTTTTATTTAGTGATTCAGCTAGTTTAACAAATTAGTGATCCTGGGTTTTTTATCTCTTTGTCTTTTATTTTGTTTGTTTTAGATAAATTATGATGTAAAAGAGCGAGAGCTACTGGGCTATTTGTTCCAGGAAAAGGTTGCAATTTTTTCTTTGCTTGAAACTAACAAGCTTAAAAATCAGTCCTTAAGTTTTGCCCTATATGTGCTTGTTTCACTAACCACTCTTGTGCCTTCTTGGTTATTTTGAATGATTAAGGACGTTATATCCATTATTCTTAAGTCTCTTGCAGTTGGGCATCTTTACTTTGCTCTCTGTTTTCTTCATGCATCTTTGGTGTTGGGGTTTCCTCCTATATTCTTTTTTCATGTTTTAATTCATTCAGATTCTGTAGTCACTTCAACGTTGATTTTCTGGGTACTAAAATAACAAATTAAATTTATTCAAGGTTGTTTATCTCCCATATATTGAAAGAGCTATTAGTGATGCTTTAAATAGAAAACTTTTTTGGTCACAATTGGCGGTAGGCATATTGCTATGGAGAAAATACTTTCTTTGTAATTTTTAAATTAAAATGAATTTAACATTAAAATTATACTAAGTAAAATATACTTTAGATTTTTAAAAGGATTTTTAATATCCTTGTGAAGATCAATTGCAAGCATTTTGTGGGTATTTAGAAATGCTAATTTATAAAATGCTGGACAGAAGTAGTTTATTATTAAAACAAGATTTGCAGATTAAGGTAAGTACTGGGATTCTGTGAACTGTATTCCTTACTTCTGTTGTCTGTCACAAAGCCAATTTCTACGTGTGAGAGATCTCTAAAATGGAGGGGATTTCACGAACACGTTAAATATAGAATGTTTACTTTTTGAAGTTTTTGGTCTGTCATTTTAATTCAAAATGTCACAAAATATTTCTATTCTCTTAATTCTTTTTAATTCATAACTTAAATAGGCAACCATGTGATTGAGTGCAAAATCATTTTATTTAACTGGTTGTCTTAAACGTCTCTTTCACATACAACACAGTTTTGATGTCAGATTTGTCTCAAATGTACTTTTGTAAGTGCCAAGGGAAAGCAAATACTTGTTCCAATTGTTTGTAGTAGATATAAAATAATATTTAAAATAGTTAGGTTTAGTTGTTCTTTAAATTGGTGGGGAAAATGGAAGACCTTTTATACTCGTATAAATTATTCTATTTAATTAATTTTGAGAGAGTGAACAAATGTCCCATATCTTCGCAGATATTATCAGTACAAGGGAGTGTTGGCCTGTTTTACTGGTGCCTTGACCAGTAATACAACAGTTATCTCTGAGATCCCTTCAGAATAGAATTACCTTTGAGGTTAATCCAGACTGTTTGCTCTAGAGTAGGGGTGTCGAACTCAATCAGAGAAGGGGCCAAAATCTTAAAATCCAGCCTAAATCGCGGGCCGAATGGTTTACTGAACAGTCATAAACTGTCATTGTGATGGAAACGCAGCGGAGTGCAGTGATGACAGCGCGGTGCGGGCCACATTGCAAGGCCTGGCGGGACGGATTTGGCCTGCGGGCCTTGTGTTTGACACATGTGCTCTAGAGAGGGCACCACTAACAGATTACTTTCTAGTTGAGGTTACAGATATGATGTGAAGTCTGGCATCCTGGAATTCAAATTGTGAATCTCAGTGAGCCACAGACTCAAAGGATTTTCTTTCCTTTGAATAACCAATCCAAAAGAGTCATAGGATTTTTGTTGTTTTGAAAAAATACATGTTTTGGATAAAGGGAGATGGATACCCCACAGCTCATGTTCTGATTTCAAGAAACCTCATAGATATTTCTGCTTTCCAGGAAGCAGAGATGTCAATTTAAATGGCTTTAGGACAACCAGTTAGCATTGTGGAATTTTGAGGTCACAGGAAGAGTGGTTAGGATTCTGGTGTGCACAGAGGTGTTATGGTGTATGCCTTTGGCCTGGTGTAATGATTAATGGTGTCCCCTCCTTCTCTCTCAGAAATATCCCAGTGTATAAAAATTAAACAGTTGCACTGAAACCAGTTTGGCTCAGTGGATAGAGCATCGGCCTGCGGACTGAAAAGTCCCAGGTTCGATTCCGGTCAAGGGCATGTAACTTGGTTGCGGGCACATTCCCAGTAGGGGGTATGCAGGAGACAGCTGATCGATGTTTCTCTTTCATCGATGTTTCTAACTATCTCTCTCCCTTCTCTCTGTAAAAAATCAATAAAATATATATTTTTAAAAATTACACAGTTGCCCTGGTTATAGGTTACGTTTTACAGTTCTTAACAGTACTCTTAAAATACCCTTTTGTTCAACAGAAAACAGAATAGACTCAGACATTTTCATATCTCTCCAAACTCAACAGGGGGTAGTAACATCGACTCTTTTGTGAATATTCTCAATTCACTCTTTCAGAGCAAGCTTCTAACCAAGAACATTGTCTACTTTCACAGTTGTAGAGTTAAGAGGGACCATTTGGAGATTCTTTTTACCAGTGGCATTCTGCAAAACAATAATTCTCTTAGCATTGAGAGGCTGAGGAACTTAAAGCTGACTGTATGGAAAAGAAAAAGGCAAGGAAATTTTTAACAAATAAGATAATGAGATAGGTGATGTCTTGATTCTACATATGGTTCCCTTTTAAATCCAGAAACCTCGAGGTTTGTCTAATGGAATTAATCTATTTAAATCTATACTTTTAGCCAAGAGAAGATTACATTGAAGATTAAATTGTTGAAACTAACCTTGCAATTAAAACTTTAAAATTTAGACTGTGCCTTAAGTTGATTTGGCTCAGTGATTAGAATGTCAGCCCAAGGACTGAAGGGTCCTGGGTTCGATTCTGATCAAGGGCATGTACCTGGTTTGCAGGCTCGATCTCTTATCTCTCTCACATTAATGTTTCTCTCTCTGTCTCTCCCCTTCCCTTCCACTGACTTTTTAAAAAAATTATTTAGTCTGAACTAAAATTATTCCAACTAGGAGATCATTCTTTTTCACTGGACAGCAGGAATGACAGACATTAACGTCATTCTTTCTTGACTAGAAGTCAATATCAATAAATATATGTATGTTAACCATTTTACTCTAATGACTCAACCTCTCCAATTGAAGTTCTCATGTTTGTTATAATCTTTAAATTCTAAATCTTTTAAAATTCTTAAGTATACTTAAGCAGCTTTTATAATTTAAGATACTTTTGACAGGAAGTGTCTTCACTGACTAGTAATATGTTGATAAGAATGATACATTTACAAATACTTATGTGAATGTTTATTTTTAAAATTTTTTAGTAAATTTATTGGGGCAACATTGGTTAATAACATAGATTTCAGGTATACAACTTTATATTATGACATCTATATACTCTATTGTGTGAATATTTTCCATGCTAAGCAGCAGGATTTTATTTGGGGAAAAATATCAATTCCCCCCAAATTCCAACTATTAAGAACAACATAGCCTCAATTTAGGCACTTAATTCTTGTTTTGTCAATTTATGTTTCCTATATTTTAATTTTTTCTTATTTTTTTAATTAAATTATCTGTGTACATATCTTACCATTGCTCTTCCCCCCGCCCCCCGTTTCCTATATTTTAAAGCTATATATTAGGTCTGTGAACATTTAAGATTATGATATCATCTTGATGAATTATTCACTTTATCTCTGATAATCTTTATCTTAAAGTCTGCAAGTATTTTATCTGGCATTAATAGCTACAACAACTTTCTCATGATTAGTGTTTGTATGTTATATCTTTTCCCATCCTTTATTCCCATCCTTTATTCTCAATACGTCTGTTACCATGTATGTCAAATTTGTCTATAAATGTATTTTATGGTCATATTTTGTTATTTGGTGTGGCAATCTTTTGTCTTTTCATTGGGGTGTTTAGTCCATTTATATTTAATACAATACCAATATGGTTGGGCTTAGTCTACCACAAGACCAGGCAAACTTTTAGCCTACAGGTTAAATCTCGTGGCTTGTTTTGAGTTTTAAATTGCCCCTGCAACATCTAGGCTACTTTAGTTATATATGTGGTATGTATTTCCAGGTATATATGTGGAACCTGGAAGTATCTGTCCTTCTGTGACTTGCTTATTTCACTTAGCATAATGTAGTCGAGGCTCATTGATATTATAGCATCTGACAGAATTACCTTTTTTATGGCTAAATAATTCCATTGTATCTATTTACCATATTTATTTTACTTTTTTCAATAAGGAACTCGGTATTTTTCAGTAAGGAACTCAAACAGTGTTCTTTTAGCAAACATTTGTTGAATGCCTAGGTATGATTTGGCAGTAGGGTATGGGAACAGCCAATAAAAAGACACAGTAGTCGGCCTCAAGAATCTGCTATGTACAGGTGTGGGGCTGTGGGTTGGAGCACATAAGAAAAGAAGCACAGGGTAGTTTCAAAGCCTAAAAGACAAACTTTAGAGCAGTTTTTATACTCAGAAATGGGGAGGAAGGAGAAGACTGCCCACATTTCCAGTATCCATTCATCTGCTGATGGGCATTTCGGTTGTTTTCACCTCTAGGGTATTATGAAGATGCTATAACAAACCTGGGAGTGCAAATATCCCTTTCAGAACCTGATTTCAATTATTTTGCATAAATTCCCAGAAGTGGATTGTTTTATTATATGGTATTTCTATCTTTAATTTTTTTTGAGGAATCTATATACTGAGAAGTTTTGAATTTTGATGAAGCCTAATTTCTCTGATTTTTTTCTGTTGTTGCTCCTGCATTTGGTATCATATCTGCGAATGTTGCCAAATTCATGATCATTTAATATTTACCTTTATGTTTTTTTCTAAGACTTTTAAGGTTTTATTAGTACCTCTCATACGTAGATCATGGATTCATTTTGAGTTAATTTTTTATATGTGATATGAGGTCTATCCAACTTCATTCTTTTGCATGTGGATATCCAGTTTCCCAAAAGATTGCTTTCTTTATTGAATGGTTTTGGTACCCTATTGAAAATCAATTGGCTATAAGAAGTATGGGTGTATTTCTGAACTTGCAGTTCTATTCTTGTCTATATGTCTATTCTTATGCCAATACCACTTTAATTGTGTTGCTTTAATTATGGTAACTTTGAATTAAGTTTTGCAATTGGGAAGTATGGTTCTTCCAGCTTTGTTTTTCCCTTTTAAGATTGTTTTTGCTTGTTTGGGACCTCTCGCAATTTCCTATGAATTTGAGGATCAACTTTTTAAATCTGCAGTTCACTGTTATTTACTTCTGAGTAATATTTTGTTGTATCACTATACTAGTTGGTTTATCCAGTCTCCTATTGAGTGTATTGATGGAGAATGGATAAGCACTTGTATTCTCTTCTTTGATCTGTTTTCTCGATCATGTTAACTGGGACTAAGTGTTTTGTTTTCACCAGTTCTAATTTGAATGTGTTTATTCTTCAAAAGCACTTGTTGCTGAGGAACCAGTGGCTTTTTGGCTACTTATTTTACATTCCCGCTTTAGAAAGCAGTGTGTTTTCACGGCACAATGCTCTCTATTCATGATTAAACTTTTATCAAGAAAAATGCCAGTTTGAAAGTGTTTTGCAAATAATTTACTGTCTTTCTTCACAGGTGCCCTTTTTATCTCCTTTGGAAGGTCATATTTATTTAAAAATAAAATGTCAAGTGAATTCAAGTGTTGAAGAAAAAGGTTTTCTAGTAAGTAATCTGTATGTATTTTCTTTTGTTCTGTTTTGTGAAGGTTAGACTTTATTTCTCGTAGGCAAGAAAGCCTGTGATTCAGCGGTAGGCTGGTTCAGCAAAGACGTTTTGCATGTCCATTACATGCCAGTGACTGTGCTGGTGTGGGAATGCACTAGGCCACAAAAGTAAGCCCTCTGCTCAGGAGATGTTAGTTTAGCTGGAGAAGAACAAGGGGACAGGTAAGTATGACAGATACAATGCTGTCATGAGCAAAAGCACAGAGTGCGTGCACGCTAATAAACGTTATACGGGGTGGACGTGAGGAATGAGAATGCGAGCAACTCTTTGAAACAGTTTGGTGGCAGGTGGGTAAGTAGAGTGTGGTACTTGACAGGATCTTTAGGATAAAAGGAGGATTTTGTTGACATCTTATTAGGCTCAACTTGAGTCTTCAAATACAAGTGGGTAGCTTTTAATAGGGTTGGAGATTGGGGCAGTTCAGGAAGAATTCCTGGGATAAATAAGAACATGAGAGTGAGACAAAATCAGACCCAAACCACAGTCCATGGTCACATGATTGATTTTGTGCAGAGTTGTATTTTTTCAGTTATCCAAGGAGAAATGTATTTGTGAAAGACATGTGGACAATGGTTGGTGTGGTGCAAAAAATAGAGAAAGCCAGTAGCTTCAGTTTCCTCTGTGAAGCAAGAACCTGCATGAGACAAAGCATCGCAGTGGCTGTGAAAGGTGCAGAAAGAGAAGCCGTTTTACTTGGCAAGCCCTCGTGGCCAAGCCGACAGTAAACCCAGCTTCCCCGCTAACTTTTCTCTCGTGCAAATCCAGCAGGTGGCACTAGTAGTCTTAGAAAAGCCTGTCTATAAATCCTTGGGTTGAAGGCAGTGTTTACTTACCTTTTTTTATATATATATATATATATATATATATATATATATATATATTTTGTACAGAGAGGAAGGGAGAGAGTGAGTTAGAAACATCGATGAGAGAGAGTCATCGATCAGCTGCCTCTTGCACACCCCCTACTGGGGATATGCCCGCAACCAAGGTACATGCCCTTGACCGGAATCGAACCTGGGACCCTTCAGTCCCCAAGCCGATGCTCTATCCATTGAGCTAAACCGGTCTTGGCTACTTACCTTTTAATGTAAATATTTCCATATTGTATTAGAGACACCGCTTTCCAGTATCCTCCTGACAGTGACTGGTGGACTCTGGCAGCTAGTTCATTTATATATAATGTCTGAGCTCTTAACTAGTCAGTTATATTTTCCAGGTTTATCCTCACCAAAAGGGCTCAGAACTCTCCCAAATAACTTCTGCCCCTGTCTAATCAATGCATTTCAATTACCTCTGTCCTCTTATAAAGAGTAAAGGTGGGCCCAACTGTGTGGCTCAGTGGTCGAGCATCGACCTATGAATCAGGAGGTCATAGTACATGCCTGGGTCAGGGCACATGCCCAGATTATGGGCATGATCCCATGTGGGGCGTGCAGGAGGCAGCCGATCCATGATTCTCTCTCATCTTTGATGTTTTCTCTCTTTCCCTCTCTGAAATCCATAGAAATATATTTTTAAAAAATAGAGGTGGTAGTTGAAATTTAAGGTGTTCAGTTTCCCTTCCTCCGCTGGAAGGAAGGGAATGACCAGCTAAAGGGCTTGATGAGTGGTTCTGTGGTGCTCCTCCGGCTCCGTCCAGGCTGAGCTGCAAGGGAAGGACACTCCGGACACCTAGCAGGTCCCTGCTCTGCGGTCTGCGATTCGATGGTGTTGTCATTGGCCTTCCTTGGCCCTTAGTTTTCTCAGCTATAAAAAGCAAAAGCCCTTGTCATTCCTCTCTGATTAGAGTAGAGCATAATGATAACCGTTTTACTCTTTTTCCTCCAATTCCCCTTGTCTGCTGCCTTTATGGTGTGAGAGGCGGGCAGAAACACAGAAGGGTGTTGGGGAGCCGATCGTCCTAACTTGTCCATGGGGCTGAAATAAGATGCTTGTCTTATTCCCTCGGTGGCTGTGTGCAGGTGGTGCCAGAGAAACCAGGCCTCGGGAAGAGAGGGGTAAACTGGGGAAAAGAAGAAGAGGTGGGGTGAGAGAGCATATGGTTGGAGTCAGCTAATGAATTTGAGCTAATTAATTAAGCTAATAAGTTTGAGGTTTTATTCTATCATGGAGACATTTCTTCACACAGAGTAATTTCCCTCCAAGGCCAGAGATTGCACTGCTAACTCAAGCCACCTTTTGGTAAAATTACACACATTAGTGGATGGAGGAGACTCTCTCCCACTATTGTTTGGTGTGGGGCTTCGCTGAACCATTTCAAGGTGGAAAATTCTTAATGCATTTTGAAATCACAAAGATACCTTTGGATTATCTGTATTCGGGCCAGCCGAGTATGCCCACTGTTTGTTTCCATAAAGTTCATTAGAACTCAGGCTCATCCGTCTCCATGTTGTCTGTGGGCGCTTTGCACCACAGCAGCACCCAGATGAATGATGAATGTGGTCATGAAGGAGCCACAGTCCAAATTTCTACTCTCTACCCTTCAGAGGAAGCCTCCCCACCCGTCTGGGCACTGGAGCATTCTTACCTTGCTTTGTTTCTTAATGTAATAGTGTCTAAAGGAATTCATTTCTTAAATTAACAGTAAGGATGTACATAAATTAGGGCTCCATTACTACTAAAAAACAGTGGGGGTGAGGGAAGCAGCTCCTACTTGTCCTGTTTAGGAAAAAGCACTTCCATGGAAAAGCCCCACAGGTTGTTAGTTACCTGTTTGACCCTTTTCCAGTCCTTTTTTGTTGTACCACATAGAAATTAAAGTCTTCTGCATTAAGTCTACATAAGAAGCTAGCACTTGTCTTTTTCAATATATAAGGCATGACATTCTCAAATCACTTTACTCTCCAACGCTTCCAGTATTTTTCTCTTATTTAAGGAAAGTTCGGTCAGGAATGCCATACTTTTAAAAAAGTCTGATATTAGACCGGACTTCAAACTGTATTACAAAGCCACTGTTCTCAAAACAGCCTGGTACTGGCACAAGAACAGACATATAGATCAATGGAATAGAATCGAGAACCCAGATATCAACCCAAATCAATATGCTCAATTAATATTTGACAAAGGAGGAAAGAATATACAATGGAGTCAAGACAGTTTCTTCAATAAATGGTGTTGGGAAAATTGGGTAGACACATGCAAAAGAATGAAACTAGATCACCAACTTACACCATACACAAAAATAAACTCAAAATGGATACAGGACTTAAACATCAGACGGGAAACCATAAAAATACTAGAAGCATCTTCAGGCAGCAAAATCTCAGACGTATGCCAAAAGAACTTCTTCACTGATACTGCCCCTAGGGCAATGGAAGCTAAAGAGAAAATAAACAAATGGGACTACATCAAAATAAAAAGCTTTTTTACAGCAAAAGAAACCATCAACAAAACAACAAGAAAGCCCACACTGTGGGAGAACATATTTGCAAATAACACCACTGATAAAGGTTTAATCTCTAACATCTACAGACAGCTGATACGACTAAATAAAAGGAAGATGAATGATCCAATTAAGAAATGGGCAAGGGACCTAAATAGAATATTTTCAAAAGAAGACAGAAGGAAGGCCAAAAGGCACATGAAAACATGCTCAAAGTCACTAATTATACGAGAGATGCAAATCAAAACAACAATGCGGTACCATCTCACACCTGTCAGAATGGCCAACATCAACAAATCGACAAACGACAAGTGTTGGCGAGGTTGCGGAGAAAAAGGAACCCTCGTGCACTGCTGGTGGGAATGCAGACTGGTGCAACCACTGTGGAGAACAGTGTGGAGTTTCCTCAAAAAACTGAAAATGGAACTCCCATTTGACCCAGTAATCCCACTCCTAGGAATATATCCCAAGAAACTAGAAACACCAATCAGAAAGGATATATGCACCCCTATGTTCATAGCAGCACAATCTACAATAGCCAGAATTTGGAAACAGCCTAGGTGCCCGTCAGCAGATGATTGGATCAAAAAACTATGGTACATCTACACAATGGAATACTATGCTGCCATAAAGAAGAAGGAATTCTCATCATTTGCAGCAACCTGGATGGAATTGGAGAACATCATGCTGAGTGAAATAAGCCAATCAATGAAAGAGAAACACCACATGACCTCACTCATTTGTGGATAATAAAGAGCATTATAAACTGATGAACCAAAAGATAGATATAGAGACAGTAAAGCAACAAGCAGATTGTCAAATTACAGCGGGGAGGGGAGGAGGATCTGGGGGAGATAATAGATCAACCGAAGGACTTGTATACATGCATATAAGTACAACCAATGGACATAAAACTATGGGGAGGGAGGGGATATGGGGGAGGGAGGGAGGGGGGCAAAAAAAAATCATTAAAATATGTAAAAAAAAAATAAATAATTAAATTAAAAAAAATAAAAAATAAAAAATAAAAATAAAAAAGTCTGATATTAGGTATAGGAACATGGGGTTAACACAGAGTTTCTTAAGCGCTGAATGCCTGTAGATGCTGCTGAAAATCTGGGCACATTCTGGGTGTGAGCAGCCAGTGACTCTCACCACTGAGGATGAGACCGGATGGAAGTCACGCAGGGAGATTGGGAAGCAGGACGTATTCCAGCATGGTGACACTTAGCCAATGGGATTAACGTTTCACTCATCCCCAAGTGATTAAGCCAGGATCTCACTCACTTTTCCAGACCATATTTGAAGATGTGAGTGGGTTTGGTGCCTGGCATCGAAGATGGTGTATTCTGTCTGGAAACTGTATCTCTTACTGGACGTACCCCGATGACGAGAAACGGAAGGTAAGGCTGAGGTGCAGGTCAGTGGGAAGCCCTGACCTGACTGCTCATGCTGTTTCACTAAGTGCTCCCTCCCCTCCACCCACCCGCTCCCCTGGGAGTCTGTTCGCTGGGCCATCGAAAATGTGCTTGTCACAAAGTGTGTGTGTGTGCGTGCAGAAATTTTATATTTTATCCATTCTCAATGATTTGACCATTCTTAAAATACTGTAAGGCATATATTTGTCTTCCTAGAATTTTTAGTCAAAAATGTTAAATTTACTTTAGTATTATTGTAGCCATGTGAATTCTATATAAAACTCATTGTGAACTATTTAGGACGGCCAAAAGCATAGAGTAGATAATGTCCATCATCCTCCGTGTTCAGTCCAGCTGAAGCCCCCATGTGACTGTCCCCTACAGAGGCGACCCTAGGCTGAAATGGTGTTCCTGCTTATTTAATTTTTATTGTATGTGCACGTATTCCAAAGCCATATTATTGCAGTTGGATATTTTAAACATGTATGTAGTGGTTTGCAACTTGCTTTTTTTACTGAGGTGGTTTGTGGACTAGTCTGGGCTGATGTGTACCGTTCTGGTCTGTGTGCTCCACCGTCTGGCCTTCTCTTTTGGAGATCCACGACAGTATTTACAGATGAGATGCATGTCTAGGCTCCTGTTTGCAGAGGGAGGGAGGGATGGCCGTGGACAGAGGGGCTGAGTGTGTTTCTAATTGTTAAAGCGGGTCGATGGTGCATGGGACTTCATTAGATTGCTTTGTTTTTAATTTTGTATCTCTAAAGTTTTCCATACAGAGTTTATGGCTAAGAGCTCTAGTTGACATCTCTTTTATTATTAAGTAACAATAATATACAGGATGAAATGGCTTTTTAAATTTATACAAACTTAAATACTGCTTAATGCTGACTTAAATGGTCTTGTTTACTTTCTGCTAATACTTTTTTTTTTAATTTTTTTTTTTAAAGAATCCCATAGGCAGGATAAATCTGGCCAATTGTACCAGTCGTCAGATAGAACCAGCCAACAGAGAATTTTGCGCAAGACGTAACACTTTTGAATTAATTACTGTCCGACCACAAAGAGAAGATGACCGAGAGACGCTTGTCAGCCAGTGCAGGGACACACTCTGTGTCACCAAGTAAGTATCGGGCTGCCGATAGCTCTGCCAACACAGTAACTCACTGCTCATATGCTCTTACCAGTGTAAGAAATACCAGGGTCACCCTTGTCTTTAGGGGGGTACAGGCTTAGTAAGGACACAAAACACGCACAGTAAGTGAACAATCTAATAACTAAATTAGTTTAGAGAAGAAAAGCTTACCGTCCTATATAATAAAAGCCTAATATGCTAAGTGTCCAAGCGTTGGACCAGTCACTGTGACACACATTGACCATAAAAGGGGCAGACACACTTTTTTTTTTTTCTAATATATTTTATTGATTTTTTACAGAGAAGAAGAGAGAGGGATAGAGAGTTAGAAACATCAATGAGAGAGAATCATCGATCAGCTGCCTCTTGTACACACCCCACTGGAGATGTGCCCATAACCAAGGTACATGCCCTTGACCGGAATCGAACCCGGGACCTTTAAGTCCACAGGCTGACACTCTATCCATTGAGCCAAACCGGTTTCGGCAAGGGGCAGACACTCTTACCAGTAGGTTAGCTGGTTGATCGGGACTGGGCGGGACGAGTCACCTCCCACGGTTCCTCCCTGGTCCTGACTGTGTATCAGTGGGGTCCCTGAGCCTGGCCTGTGGATCAGGCCTAAATGGCTCTCCAGTATCCGGAGGGGTCCTGGATTGCAAGAGGACGCAGGCCAGGGACCCCACTGGTGCACAACTCTGTGCACCGGGCCCCTAGTTCAGGTTATCTCTTAGATAATCATGCTTTCACTGTTCTCACAGTGTAGCCATTTTCAGGGCAGTTAGTTGATATATATTAAGTTTGAAGAGTTCATGTACTATTAGGAAGCCAAATATTATTTAAAGAGCCTTTACACACCCCTTCTTTTCCATTCAAAATGCTCTTATCAATTGGGTGACTTACAAAAGCAGTCATTCTGCTCTGTGAAATTCTGGTTGGAGGAGAACAGAATGAACAATTGGGAGTGTCACTTTCTGTTAGGCCAAAGCTTAGGTATAAGATGAAAGCTTATTGTTAAAAATCTAAGATTCTTTTGCTTGGATGTCCAAGAGAAGCCTAAAACCAACTTCAACATACACAGTGTGATTTGGGACAGAAGTTTGAATTTGACAAAGTCTATTAATGAGGCTGTAGCTGGGCATTGTAGACAGGGGTGGATGGAGCTGCTCCAGGGGTTTCTGATGAAGGACTTAAAAATGGCTCAGGTAGGGGACCCATTCCCTGGAAATTCGTGGTGTCTCGGTTACTTCAGATTAACTCAGTGGAACTCCTCCCCTCCTCTCCTTTGGGGGCTTCTCTGCAGCATTGGCATAAGACAGGACAGGAGCACAGGGGTTTACAGTCATTTGTCCAGGTCCACAGTCAGTGGGGGAACCAGGCAAAATTCAGTACCCAAGTGGTTCCTGACCACAGCAGCCCATGTTAACCCTTTTGAATGCAGTCTTACCTTTACCTACTAACAAGCCCTCCCAGACTTTTTCATGACCTTCTCCTTGACCTTCTCCTGTAGTAGAAATAGCCCGATCCCATGTGGCTCCCACAATTGTACTTGCTTTGTTTTTCTCCTTATAACATCACTAGAGGCCCGGTGCACAACATTCATGCACTGGGTTGGGGGGGGAGCCCTCAGTCCAGCCCAGATTCTCATAATCCGGGACCCCTCAGGAGGTGTCCACCTGCTGGTTATGCCTATTTCCCTCAGGAAACGGGCCTAAGCCAGCAGTCGGACATCCCCCAAGGAGTCCTTAAGGCTGCTAAAGAGGTGGGAGAGGCTCCCACCACTGCTCCTGCACTCTCCAGCCATAAGCCCAGCTCCTAACTGAGCAGCACACCCCCTGTGGGAGAGTGCTGACCACCTGGGGGCAACTCCTGCACTGAGTGTCTGCCCCCTGGTGGTCAATACTCATCATAGCGACCGGTCATTCTGCTGTTTGGTCAATTTGCATATTAGCCTTTTATTACGTAGGATTGTGATTTGAGCTAACCCTTTGTTATCACACATTTGTGACTGAAGGGCTCTCACTTGGTGGCTTCTCAAAACCGTTTGGATCATACATTTTGTCAAAATATAAACATTTTATCGTTCTGCATTCTCCTTTGTCCTCAACTATTTCTACACAGGGCCTTTAATCTAAATTGTTTCTCATTTTAAAAATTGTACTCGAAGCCTCTTCCTATGGGGCTCTCACTTAGCAGCCCCTTACAGAGAGAACAGAGGAACTCATTTTACTGATTTGCTGAGGCTTTCCCCCCAAGTAAGGGTGCGGGCGGCGGGGAAGGGGCAGAGGAGCTGAGCAGCTGCTGGTTTGCTCCCGCAGGCACTGGCTGTCCGCAGACACCAAGGAGGAGCGGGACCTCTGGATGCAGAAGCTCAATCAGGTCCTTGTGGACATCCGCCTCTGGCAGCCGGAGGCCTGCTACAAGCCACTCGGGAAGCCCTGAGCGGGCTGTTCCCGTGCCGTGTCTCAGGAGCCACCCATATGGTGAGTGCGTTTTCTGCTTTAAAAACGAAAGGGGATGTGCCAATATTCACTACATATTATGCAGTATTTATGTCTTTTGTATGTAAAAACCTCAATGACTGATTTGTCATTCATAAATGCCTAGAGGAAATTCATTATAATTGATTTTGCTAAATCTTAATCTAAAAGCCTAATTTCCTGCGAACCTGATTATTCAGTTATTCATGATAAAACGTGTGTTTGTTTTTAAGTAAGAAATTGTAAGTTGTCTTCTTGGAGTTGTGGGTCTCAGCACAGGGGTCTTCGGGAGTCAGTCCCTCTTTACCCAAATTCGTGTGCTGTAAGCGGTGGGCCTGTATTGGCTGTGTCTTGTAACTGTCGCACTGAAAACATTTCTAAGGGACTTCACAGAAACGCTTTTAGTAACGAAGGCAAGGACTTTTTCAAGGAGCAAATGGACATTCGTTTAAAGCTGAGGCTTCTTCGAACAGGAGATGCGGACTTAGGGATATTGTGTGAGATTTGGGGTAAGATGTTTTACTTAGAAAACTTAATAATCACATGGTTTACATTTGCTGTTACTGAAGATGCTGCATGGTACACATTTTTGTAAAATGTAGGCTTTCAAAAGTAATTGTTTTTGCTATATAGCTAACAGACTCCTCAAATATACTGGGCATGCTAGTTTCTCTCTGCTCCTGTAACAAGAACAAATGTACATTGAAGACTTTTTATATAAGAAAGTAAACTTCACAAGCTGCTGTGGACTAATACTTGGCTTGCCAAAGCTCTTGACTTTTTTACTTTTCAAGTCATATATGACAGTGTCTAGAAATCCGTTATGAAATATGTTGAAAAACTATTAATTATTTCTTTAAAAGCCTAACACTTTATTTTTGTGTTATATTGTAAAGCATTGTCTCAAACTTTTAAGTACACTTTGAGTTTCTTCTCTAAATTGTTATTGATGTTCTCATTTGTAAACACTAAATTCTGTCACCTCCTGTCATTTTATCTTATATTCATTTGAGTGTGTTCTTATGTGTATTATAAAATGTTTTATGATCGCTTACCTAAATAAATACTTGCAAATGGCTTACCAAATCTGTTTTTTAAGAAATCCTATTTAAACGTGTGATGTGGCTGCTCCACTGTAGGCTCTGGGGCTTCGTGAGGGTATTTTATTGACGGTGTCTTTTCATCTTTTCAGCTGTGTCCCAGGGCTGGACTCGTGTGTGGTGTGCTTAGGGTTGCTGTTGAATGAGTGGCTGGGTCAGAGGTGAGGAGGGCTGCTGCTGACTGAGTAGGTGCCATTTCCATATGGTACTTGATGTGCATTTGAAGGACAGGGATGACCCCCAAGTGCTTATCAGAGACTGAGTGTAGAAGTGACACCACCAGCCACAACAGGAACAGTTTGGTGGGATTTATCTATAGGATGATAGACTCATGTTTAACATCATAGAACAAAATTCAAGAGGCACAAGGAAGTTAACATGTAAGTCTTCTCCCATTCTCCCACTTTTACCAGCATTTGTGTCCTCCGCACATGTGTCAAACACAAGGCCCGCGGGCCAAATCCGTCCCGCCAGGCCTTGCAATGTGGCCCGCACCGCGCTCTCATCACTGTACTCCGCTGCGTTTCCATCACAATGACAGTTTATGACTGTTCAGTAAACCATTTGGCCCGCGATTTAGGCTGGATTTTAGATTTTGGCCCCTTCTCTGATTGAGTTCGGACCTCGAGAGTATGCATGTCCCATAGACATATTAGATTCATTTGCCCACACATACTGCTCGTTGTAAGTTAAAGGAACAAAGCATAACAATACCCCTAGAGATGCTTCTATCTTAGGGCATCTAAAGTGGTTGTGGAACATCAAGGTAAAATTCCAGAGAAAAGTACTGTGTGAATGATGGCGGTGTCGCTGCCTGCGGGGATCATTGGAACCACTGGAGTGGATAAGAGGCTCCCCACCTCCAGGGTGTGGACAGAGAAGCAGAAACAAAAGGAACGCGTTTGACAGAAGAAACAGCAGTGGCTGTGATCGTCCGTGAAAGGAACAGGAATGATGTCTGGGGAGACCAAAGAGGAACCTTAAGATTCTGACCACAGCCGAAACCGGTTTGGCTCAGTGGATAGAGCGTCGGCCTGCGGACTGAAAGGTCCCGGGTCCCGGGTTCGATTCCGGTCAAGGGCATGTACGTTGGTTGCGGGCACATCCCCGGTGGGGGGTGTGCAGAAGGCGCTGGTTGATGTTTCTCTCTCATTGACGTTTCTGGCTCTCTATCTCTCTCCCTTCCTCTCTGTAAAAAACCAATAAAATATATATTTTTTTAAAGATTCTGACCACAAACTCATAACCTTGGAAGTGGTTAGTTCAGTAAGATGTTGAGAAAAACAGCCAGGTTACAATAAAGTCCACAAAAGGAAAAAAAAAAAAATGACAGGGTTGGTTACATTAAAAAAAATTCCTGATTAATGTCCATAAACAAGCAAGAGACTAGGAGGAAATGTTCATGCTGTGCGCAATAATCAAAGAATCACCATGCAAACTGCATGAAGAGGGCTGGCTGGCATCGTTTGAACATTTACTCTGCACCAGGCCGTCTGTTGGTGTTTCTTTTTTTCCTTTCAGATTTAACCCATTGGAATTAATTATTCAAAGTGTGTACATTTTGGGGGGAGATACCATATGTATATATTTAATTATTAAAATATATATATATTATTGCTTTTTTACAGAGAGGAAGGGAGAGGGATAGAGAGTTAGAAACACTGATGAGAGAGAAACGTAGATCAGCTGCCTCCTGCACACCTCCTTCTGGGGATGTGCCCGAAACCAAGATATGTGCCCTGACAGGAATCGAACCAGGGACCCTTCAGTCTGCAGGCCAACACTCTATCCACTGAGACAAACCAGTTTTAGCTGGTTCCCAGATCTTAATGGCGAGGACCAGAAGGCCATTCAGGGGACCTGGACTAGAATCCATTGCCTATCCCTTTAGTGGAGTCTAAATATTAAGACTAGTCCAGACCACTATTTCATTATCCCCAGGCTCTGCCCTTGAACCAAATTTCCCACCTGGGCCCATAGCGACCCCTAGGGACCACACCTCCTTCCAAGAACCCAGACCTACATCCAGGGCTCAGAGGTACATCCAGGTGGCAGACCATCATGGCAGGGCTGAGAATGCCAACCAGGGGCCAAGGCCACAAACACGGAATACCGTGGTGTATCAGGGGACTAGATCTCCATACAGAACCCAGGCCACTATTCCATAACCCAATGTCCAGTTGAGCTACCAGACGGCCCACCAGAGCCCAGACCTCCTCTATGGCCCAAACTGCCCTACCAATACCCAGACCTCCAGTGGGGCTCAGACCTCCATCAGGGGCCCAGACCATCAGGCAGGGCCCAGGCCTCAAACACAGAATCCAGGCTTGTATCAGGGGTATAGTTCTCCATTTGTAACCAGACCACCATTCCATAACCCAGATGTCCACCTGAGGTACCAGACCGCCCCCCGGGGCCCGAACTGCCCTCCCAGGACCCAGAACTCCATCTGGGGCTCAGACCTACATCCAGGTCCCTGAACTTTTTAAAATCTTTATTCATTTTTCACAGACAGGAAGAGTGGGATAGAGAGTTAGAAACATTCATGAGAAACATCGATCAGCTACCTCCTTCACATTCCCCACTGGGGATGTGCCCAAAACCAAGGTGCGTGCCCCTGATGGAAATGAACCTGGGATCCTTCAGTCCACAGGTGGACGCTCTATTCACGGAGCCAAACAGGTTGTGGCCGGATCCAAGAACGTTATGGCAAGGAACAGAAGGCCATTCAGGGGACCCACACTAGAACCCATTGCCTATCCCTTTATTGGATTCTATTTTAAATACACAGGCTAGTCCAGACACCATTTCTTCATCCCCAGGCCCTGCCTTTGAACCAAACCTCCCACCTCGGACCATAGCACCTCCTAGTGACCACACCTCCCTCCAAGCACCCAGACCTACATCCGGGTCCCAGACCCATCCTTACGGGGCCGAGAATGCCAACCAGGGGCCCAGGCCACAAACCCCGACTAAATCTCTATGTGTAGCACAGACCACCATTCAGTAACCCAGATGCCCAGGTGAGGGATCAGACCACACCCAGGGGCTCAGACCTCCCTTACTGGGCGGAACGCCCCTCACAGGACCCAGACTGCCATCTGGGGCTCAAACCTACATCTGGGTCCCAGACCTTTACTCAGAGGGCCAGACCTGAACAGTGTGTCTATTCCTTTATTAGAATCAAAATATCCAGGCTAGTCCTGACCACCACTTCATCATCCCGAGGTCCTGCCCTTGACCCAAACCACCCAACTGGGCCCTTAGCGCCCCCTAATGACGACACCTGTCTTGCAGCACCCAGACCTACATCCGGGTCCAGAGTGGCATGGTGGGGCTGAGAAAGCCAAGCAGGGCCCAGGCCACAAATCTCGAACGCAGAGTTCTATCAGGGGACTAGATCTCTAGGCATAACAGACCACTATTCAATAACCCCAATGTCCACCTTAGATATCAGACCGCCCAGAGCCTCCCTCCCTCCCTGGCCCGAACCGCCCTCACAGGACCCAGAGCTCCACATCCGGGTACCACACTGTCATGGTGGTGCCGAGAAGAATGTCCCGAGGCAAAGGCCTCAAACACACAATCTAGTCTTTAATCGGGAGTATAGTGCTCATTCTGTAACTCAAACCACCATAGCTTAAGCCAGATGTCCAGTTGAGGTACCAGATGGCCCCCCCGGAGCCCAGTTCCCTTCTTGGCTCAAACTGCCCTCCCATGACCCTGACCTCCATCAGGGGCTCAGACCTCCATCCTGGTCCCAGACCTTTATTGCCAGGCCCAGAAGGCCATTCTGGGAACCCAGACCTGAACACAGAGCCTATTCCTTTATTGGAGTCTAACTATCCAGGCTAGTCCTGACCATCATTTCATCATCACGAGGTCCTGACCTTGCCCCAAACCACCCACCTGGACCCGTAGCGCTCCCTAGTGACCACACCTGTCTTCCAGCACCCAGGCCTACACCCGGGGCTCAGACCTACATCCGGGTCCAGAGTGGCATGGTGGGGCTGAGAAAGCCAACCAGGGCCCAGACCACAAGCTTTGAAAACTATATACGTATACTATATGCGTAACCCCAACAACTATTCCATAACCCAGATGTTCCGGTGAGGTACCAGACTGGCCCCAAGGCTCAGACTTCCGTCTGGGCCCGAACTGCCCTCCCAGGACCCAGACCTCCACCTGAGGCTCACACCTACATCTGGGACCCTGACTACCATGGCAGGGCTGAGAAGATTATCCTGGGGCCCAGGCCTCAAACACAGAATCCAGACTTGTATCAGTTGTGTACTTCTCAATTTATAAACCAGACAAAAATTTCCATAACCCCGATGTCCAGGTGAGGTACCAGACTGCCCCCAGAGGGCCAGATGTCCCTCCCTGGCCCCAAAGGCCCTCCCAGGACCCAGAACTCAGTCCGGGGCTCAGACTTACCTTCTGGTCACAGACCATTATGTCTAGAACCAGAAGGCCATTCTGGGGACCCATACTAGAAGCCAGTGTCTATTCCTTTATTGGAGTATAAATATGCAGGCTAGTCCTGACCACCATTTTAAGTCGAGGTCCTGCCCTTGCTCCAAACCTCCCACCAGGCCTCCTATCGCCCCCTAGTGACCACACCCTGCCTGAGCACCCAGACCAACATCCAGGGCTCAGACCTACATCCGGGGTTCCAGACCTTCATGGTGGGGTTAGTAGGCCAACCAGGGCCCTGTGCCACAAACCAGGAACACAGAGTTGTATCAGGGGACCAGATCTCTATGAGTTACCCCAACAACTATTCCATCATCCAGATGCTCAGGTGAGGTACCAGTCGTCCCCGGGACTCAAATTTTCCTCTGGGCCCGAACTGCCCTCACAGGACCCAGACCACCTCCACCTGGGGCTCACACCTACATCCCGGACCCCGACTATCATTGAAGAGCCAAAAAAAATTATCCCTGAGACCAGGCCTCAAACACAGAATTCAGACTTGTATCAGGGGTGTACTTCTCAATTTACAAACCAGACCACCATTTCCATAACCCCAATGTCCAGGTGAGGTTCCAGAACGCTCCCAGCGGCCCAGACGTCCCTCCCTGCCCCAAAGACCTCTGTCCGGGAATCATACCTTGGGGAGGTCTGGTCTCAGAACATTATGGAGAGGACCACGGGCCATTCCGGGGACCGATACTAGAAGCCAGTGTCTATTCCTTTATTGGAGTCTAAATATCCAGGCTAGAACCTCCCGGCTGGGCTCCTAGCGCCCCCTAGTGACCAACCCTAGGTTGTTATATCCTCTTCTTTTCCTTCCGATGTTTACCATCCTACCTTCTTACACTCAGCACCAACTTGAACGCTAGCGGCTGACTTCTGACAGTCAAGCCGCTGCCAAACACCACTGCAGCCAGGCGGAACCATAATCTTTGACGGCGCTGGTTCGGAATTCGGCAACTAAAGCTGGTGGAACCGTAACACGGCCCAGACCGCCCTCCGTCCTCTGCCTTGTCCGCCCCGCTGCCCGGGCGCCCCGGCCCCGCGCGGCCGCTCCCGGCTCCGCCTGTCCTCGCTCGGCCGCGTTCCGGGGTCTGTCTGTCCACGGAAGAGCCCCGGGGCGGCGGCCACCGGACCCCACACCCCAAGCCTTGCGGGGCCCACACCGCGCCCCACCTGTCCGCCTGCCGGCCCGACTGAAAACAAAACACCCGCCCCGAACCCGGGCGTCCGCACGAGGGGCCCCTCTTACCGGAGCCCGCGCGCCCGTGGCCTCCGCAGCTCCGCCCGGACCGGCGGCCGGCGCCTCGCGCTCCGCCCCGCCCAGCGGGCCGGCCCCGGCGCGGTGCACGCTGGGACTTTTGGGCGCCGCCGGCCCCCACAGCTCCCCCTGCTGGCGGGAGGAGCGAACGCCGCCTGCAGGAGCCGCCCGAGTTGCGGAGGAGCACAGCCTGGCTGCCCGGGTAGCCGCCGCCTGTCGGACGGATCCTGGCACTCTCTTGGGGGCTCAAGGGTGACAGACAGAGACCAGTGCGAACTAAAAGAGCTGGAGAGGGACGAAGACGGAGGTGGAAATGCAGTCAAGTGGAAATGGCTGGAGAGGAGACAGGGCTGGGGTCACGTCTGGTTCCTCCCCAAAACCGACCCCAGCCATCTGCGGGGTGACCCCAGGAATCAGATTGCTAGGGAGGTCAGACAACGAAGGGGTATTAATAAGCAGGTCTCCCTGTGGATACCTGGGAGTCCATCCTAAGGGAGACCCTTTAAAAATATATATTATTGTCGATAGTATTACAGATGTCTCATTTCTCCCTTTTGCCTTGCTCCACCAGAGGCGGACTCTTGAGTACGCAGACCACTCGGTAGAGTAGTATGGGTGAGCGCAAGGATGCTCAGTGATTGTTCTCAGAGGTCAGGCAGACATGGCATGGAGGACCCCATGGACTTAAATTAGAAACGAGTAATTGTCTATACAGTCCAAGTATTGATAATAGTCTTATAATGTAAACATGAAATGGATCTCAAATTTACTCTGCCTTTTACTCTAAACTAGGTGTGTTGAACTCAATCAGAGAAGCGGCCAAAATCTAAAATCCAGCCTAAATCGTGGGCCGAATGGTTTACTGAACAGTCATAAACTGTCATTGTGATGGAAACGCAGCGGAGTGCAGTGATGACAGCGCGGTGCGGGCCACATTGCAAGGCCTGGCGGGACGGATTTGGCCCGCGGGCCTTGTGTTTGACACATGTGCTCTAAACAGTCAGTGTGGTTGAACCACTTGGGTTTATGGAATTGCTATTCCAACCCTAAAGGTTTTCTTTTTAAAAATTACATACCGTATTTTCCGGTGAATAAGACGACCCCCTAATTTTACAGTTAAAACATAGGTTTAGGCCTATATTCGCTGTATAAGACTACCCCCCACTTCTATGGCAACACCAGTTCTTTTTTTAATAGACCGCCTCTCTGACTCTGGCCAATCTGAGCAGGCTTTTTACTAGAACACAGTGTACATGTTCTGTACCCAAAGCTGCACTGTGTTCTGCATTTTTAATGGGTATCCCAGGCCAGGCAGAGCTGTTCTGAGGCAGTCAGCACCCACAGCCAGCTCGCATCCCCAGGCCCTAGAGGCAGGGCCTTTTCCTTTTCACAAAAGCACCATGGACTCACCAGGGGCTATACCGACCAGAGGTGGCACCTCTCCTGTCTGTTTAGACACTGTGATTGGTGGAGCGCCCTTAATCCCCGCTGACTAGTTCAGATAATCCTGGACCACACTCCTGCTACAAAGAACACTTATTTAGCCTTGAAGATCTCTAAGGAAGGAAATCTACGTATTTATGTCAGAATAATGTTAAAGATTGACAGTCCAGCCAAAACCGGTTTGGCTCAGTGGATAGAGGGGCTGCCTGCGAACTGAAGGGTCCCAGGTTCGATTCCGGTCAAGGGCATGTACCTTGGTTGCGGGCACATCCCCAGTAGGGGCGTGCAAGAGGCAACCGATCCATGATTCTCTCCCATCGATGTTTCTAACTCTCTATCTCCCTTCCTTTCTGTAAAAAAATCAATATATTTTTTAAAAAGACTGACAGTCCAAAGGACAGATGAAGGTTGCTAGAACAAGCTGGAAAACTGCCTTCTGATAGGCCACAGAACAAAAAAGGAATGGTTATGGACTGACAATATTTTTTCCTTTGGTACTTAACTCACAGATCTTAATGTTAAGTATATTTCTTTTTTAAAAAACATATTTTACTGATTTTTTTTTTACAGAGAGGAAGGGAGAGGGAGTTAGAAACATCGATGAGAGAGACATCTATCAGCTGCCTCCTGCACATCCCCACAACCAAGGTATATGTCCTTGACTGGAATCGAACCTGGGACCCTTCAGTCCGCAGGCCGATGCTCCATCCACTGAGCCAAACCAGTCAGGGCAGTATGTTTCTTGAAAAGTTGATACACACTGTTGGGAATGCAGAGAAGTTAGATATATAACACTGCTTGCTACCCACAGTGGTGGGTTTTTAGGTGATTTAAATTAACACAGAAGAATATAACACTTATGTGGCCAACATTTTAACAAAGGAGACAGTAAATTAATTTATTTTGAGCAATATAAATTCCCACAAGACGCAGGTGTGCTCTCACCATTTGAGAGAAAATGAAACTCACTGTGTGAGAAAACAGAAAACCTCAGTTAACTGAGGCGGCCCAGCAATGGGAAGCACGAGGCATTTGGGGAAACGCTCCATCTGTAACATTTCCTCACTCAGGCTGTGGTGTCAGAACTGAATGAAGGATAACACAACAGTGGATGAAATAGCAGAACAGAATAAAATGTTCCTTCCATGATTGGCAGGCCTTGCTGTGACGATTACAGATGCCTATCTTATGCCTAAATTATTTGGACCTTTGTCAAGGAGGCGCCACACCAGGTCTTCTTCTTCTTCTTCTTTTTTTAAAAATATATTTTATTGAATTTTTAGAGAAAGGGAGAGGGATAGAGAGTTAGAAACATCAATGAAAGAGAAGCATCGATCAGCTGCCTCATGCACACCCCCTACTGGGGATGTGCCCGCAACCAAGGTACATGCCCTTGAATGGAACCGAACCCGAGACCCTTGAGTCTGCAGGCTGATGTGCTATCCACTGAGCCAAACCGGTCAGGGCCACACCAGGTCTTCCATGCATCTGGCCCATGTGTTTGAAGCTGGTGCTCTGTGAATTCTTTATCCTGACTCAGAGCCAACAGACCTCACTGCCTGTGTGGCTTGACTTGGAGACTGATGGGCTTCTCCCTAGCATGCATTGCAGCAATAGGGGTGGTAAGTGCCCCCAGGTGTGTAAAGCTCCTTCCACACTCATCAAAGAAACAGGCCTCTCCCTCTGTGTCAGTGCAGATGGGTCTTCAAATTTCTCTCCTGGAGGAAGCCTTTGCCGCTTTCAGGACACCTGAAGGGCTTTTGTCCACTGTGCGTGGACAAATGAACCTTCAAACTTCCCTGAACACGGTAGCTCTTGTCAGACACTGGGAGGGCTTCTCACCACTCTGAACTCGAATGAAAAATACTTAAACAAGCCAAAACCAGTTTGGCTCAGTGGATAGAGCGTCGGCCTGCAGACTGAAGGGTCCCAGGTTCGATTCTGGCCAAGGGCATGTACCGTGGTTATATACTGAGGGGTGCCTTCCACCCAGCACTCATGACAGTCTGTCTAAAATCCAGCCTGCTGCTGGGGCAGACCCGAGAACCCGGCTGCACCTCTGCCGGAGGAAGGCCCCTCGGCCAGGCCTGGCTGGCAGCTCTGCACCCCCAACTCTGGCTCCTTGTGGGAATTAAAACATACAAATTGGAAAAATAAATAAATAAAATAAAAGCATGTCTAAAAAATAAATTTCATTAAAAAGTAAATAAAGAAATATATTTTGAAATAATTATAGATATACAGGTAGTTAAAAGATAGTCCAGAAAAGTTCCCTATACCATTCACCAATGGTTACATGACATTATTATAGTACATAGAAATCATAAAATTGATATTGGTGTAGTGTGTGTATAATTCTAAGCGATTTCATCACATGTGATTTCCCCCCTTCTGCACCTGGTCTTTTTCACCCTGTTAACAGGACTTTCCCAGAGCAAAGCTTTAAATTTTGATGACATCCCCTGTATCATTGTTTTCTTTTATAGATAGTGCTTTTTAAATATATATATATATATATATTTTTTTAATTTATTTCAGAGGGGGAGAGATACAGAAACATCAATGATGAGAGAGAATCATCGATCAGCTGCCTCTTATATGCTCCTACACTGGGGATCAAGCATGTGCTTGACCAGGAATCAAACCATGACCTCTTGGTTCAAAAGTCAACACTAAACCACTGAACCCAGGCATAAATTGTGATTTTGGTGCCACTTCTAACAACTTTTCGTCAAGACCTAGGTCTCAAAGATTTTTTTCCTGTGTCACATTCTATAGATTTTATACCTTAACATTTTACATTTGTATATGACATTTAAAATTCCTTTTGTTGTTCATCCTCATCTAAGGATATTTTCCCCACTGATTTTGAGAGAGAGAGAGACAGAATGAGAGAAACATCAATGAGAGAGACTCACCGATTGGCTGCCTCCTGCACACGCCCAACCCGGGCAGGGATCAAGCCTGCAACCAAGGCATGTGTCCTTGACCGGAAGGGAACCCGCAGCCCTTCAGTTCTTGGGCCAATGCACTAATCACTGAGCAACTGGCGAGGGCATGGGTGTGACATTTTTTGAAGGAAAACTGGATGTTCACATTTTGTGTGTACTCTCCTGATTTTCCTCTCTTGGCAAAGAAATTCACGATTTTAATTAACAAGGGTTGGTTCAGGAAGCAAATGGACAAACAAAAGAACACATCTACAAACCATGACTGACTCATGGACCATTAAGCTACAATCTTTGGTACAGAGCAACTACAGGAACACTCTTCCTGAATGTTCCAAGGACAGAAGAAAGGAAACTTATCATTTAACCTTTGAAAAATTTCATTTTTAGTCCTTTCAGATTCTATACTACAAATGTAGATGACTGCTTACCAAGGAACACGCTGGACATCTCTCTAGACAGGTAGGACTATTCCCAAGCGCATTAAAAAAGGCTGGTCACCAATGCTACCCAATGAACTCTCCCATAAAGGAATCTAGCAGACCTCACAACGAGGGCCGTTTGACACGGAGTTTTGGAGAGCAAGGTTGCAGAGATAAAATCCATCATCAAAACTATTACAAGCCCCTGGAGCTTAAGAATCAGCTTGTATAACTAACAGTTTT